CAGTGAAATAAGTCAGCCAGAGAAAGACAAATACTATATGACTTCACTAACACGTGGAATCTAAAGAACAAAATAAATGAACACCCAAAATTGAAAGGTTCATAGATAGAGGGAATTGGTGGTTGCCAGAGTGGAGGGGTGATGGGGGGACTGGGTGAAAAAGGTGAAGAGATTAAGAAGTACAAATTGATAGTTACAGAATAGTCACTGGGATGTCAAGTACAGCATAGGAAATATGGTCAATAACATTGCAATAACCATGTATGGTGTCAGGTGGGTACTAGATTTATTGGAGTGATAAGTTAGTAAATTGTATATAATGTCCAATCACTGGGTTATACACCTGAAACTAATATAATATTGTATGTCAACTATAATTAAAAAATTAAAAAAATTTAAAAAATGTATACCTTAGGTAAATTAACTTCTCAGTTTCATCATTTGTAAAAAAGGAGCTAGTACCGCCTGCCTAATAGGTTTGTGTGAAGACTAAATTCATTAACATGTTCACAGCATGCACAGTACCTAGTATATAGTAAGTACTCAATAAAACTTAATTGTTATTGTTAGAATCTAAATAAATCTAATTATAGAGATAGACTTTTTGAATTTTACCAGCATTTTGAGATATAATTCACACAGAGTAAAATGTAGAAACTAAGTATACATCTTTGATGAGCTTTGACAAATGGATACTCATACCAAGGCATAAACTGTTTCCATATCTCTAGAAAGTTCCCTCATTCCTCTTTGTAGTCCAATCCTCCTCTCCCACAAAGGCGATCACTACTCTGATCTTTTCATCTGATTAGTTTTGCCTGTTCTTGAACTTCATGTAAGTGGAATTTTACAGTATATACTGTTTTGTGCCTGGCTTCTTTCCCTTCAACATGTTTTAGAAGTTAATACATATTGTTGCATGTATCAGGTAAGTAATTTTTAAAAAATCAAACTGTATTCTATCACTTATACACATACCAGTTTCCTGTTGGACATTTGTAATGTTCCCAGTTTGGGTTATAAATAAAGCTGCTAAGAACATTTCCATACAAGTCTTTTTGTGGACATGTATTTTCATTTCTCTTGGGTCTGTATCTAAGAATATATATTGCTGAGTCATACTAACTTTGACTGTATGTTTAACTTTGTTAGAAACTACCAGTTTTCTAAAGTGATTGTAACATTTTATAGATCTATCAACAAATCATGAGTATTCCAGTTTATCCACATCCTCACCAATACTTGGTATCCTAGACTCTTTTATTTTGGCCACTTCAGTGTATAAAGTAGTCTCTTATGGTGAATTTAGTTTGCATTTCTCTAATGACTGTTGACGTTGCACACCATTTCACATGTTTATTTGCCATGCAAATATTGGTAAGTGAGTAATTTTTAAAATCTTGAATATATTGTGCATGGGTTATGCTTTTGGTGTTGTATCTAAAAACTCATCAATAAACCCAAGGTTACCTGGATTCTCTCCTACATTTTGCTGTAGAAGTTTTGTAGTTTTGTATTTTATGTGTAGCTCTATGAGCCATTTTGAGTTAATTTTCACGAAATGGGTGAGGTTTGTACCTAGGTTAATTTTTCTACATACATATTAACATGCAGTTATTATAGCCCTATTTGTTGAAAAAACTGTCTCCACTGAACTGTCTTTGTGTTTTTATTATCAATCAATCTACTATACATGTGTGGGTCTATTTCTGGGCTTTCTATGGGAATACCTTGCTCTATTGTTTTGCTTTATTGCGCTTCACAGATACTCTGTTTTATTTTATTTTTTTAGCAAACTGAAGGTTTGTGGCAACCCTGCATTGAGCAAGTCTATTGGTGCCATTTTTCCAATAACATTTGCTCACTTTGTGTCTCTGTCACCAAGAGAGAGAATTGATAGTTCCTTCAATATTTCAAGTTTTTTGTTATTATTATACCTGTTACAGCAATCTGTGATCAGTTATTTCTCATGATACTATTATAATTGTTTTGGGGTGCCAAATTGTGCCCCTACGATGGTAAACTTAATAAATGTTGTATGTATGTATGTATGTTGGTTGTTCCCCCATCTCTTTTCCTCTTGTTGGGCCCCCCGATTCCCTAAGACACAATATTGAAATTAGGCCAATTCATAACCCTATAATGACCTCTAAAAATTCCAGTGAAAGGAAGAATCTCATGCCTCTAAGTTTAAATCAAAAGCTAGAAGCTATTAAGCTTAGTGAGGAAGGCATGTCAAAAGCAGAGATAGGTGGAAAGCTAGGCTTTCTGCACTAGTTAGCCAAGTTGTAAATGCAAAGGAATAGCTGTTGCAGAAAATTAAAAGTGCTACTCCAGTGAACACATGAATGATGAGAAAGTAAAACAGCATTATTATTGATATGGAGAAAGTTTTAGTGGTCTAGATATGTCAAACCAGCCAAAACCTCCACTTAGGTCAAACACTAATCCTGAGCAAGGCTCTAACTCTCTTCAATTCTATAAAGGCTGAGAGAGGTGAGGAAGCTGCAGAAAAAAAGTTGGAAGTTAGCAGAGGTTGGTTCGTGAGGTGTAAGGAAAGATACTGTCTCCATAATTTAAAAGTACAAGGTGAAGTAGCAAGTGCTGAAGGAGAAGCTACAGCCAGTTAACCAGAAAATCTAGCTATGGTAATTAAAGAATGTGGTTATACTAAATGACACCTTTTCAATGAAAACATAACAGCGTTACATTGGAAGAAGATGCCACCTAGGATTTTCACTTAGAAAGAAGTCAATGCTTGACTCCAAATCATCAAAAGCACAGGCTGACTCTCTTTTGGGGGTGGGCGTAATGCAGCTGGTGACTTCAAGTTGAAGTTAATGCTCATTTACCACTCAAAAAACACAAGAGCTCTTAAAAATTATGCTACATCAACCTTGCATATGCTCTACAAAAGGAACTACAAAGCCTGGATGACAGCATATCTGTTTACAACATGATTTACTGAGTACTTTAAGCACACTGTTGAGACCTACTGCACAGAAAAAAGACTTCAAATTACTGCTCATTTACAATGCATGTGGTCGCCCAAGAGCTCTGATGGAGATGTACAAGATTAATATTTTCATGCCTGCTAACACAACATTCATTCTGAAACCCATGGATCAAGAAGTAATTTTGACTTTCAAGCCTTCATAGTTAAGAAATACATTTCATAAGGCTACAGATGCCATAGACAGTGATTCCTCTGATGAATCTAGGCAAAGTAAATTGAAAACCTTTTGGAAAGGATTCAGCATTCTAGATGCCAGTAAGACCATTTGAGATTCATGGGAAAAGGTCAAAATATCAACATTAATAGGAGTTTGGAAGACACTGATTCCAACTCTCCTGGCTGACTTTGAAGGGCTTGAGAGTTCAGTGGAGAAAGTAACTGCAACAGACCTAGAATTAAAAGTGGAGCCTGGAGATGTGACTGATTTGCTGTAATCTCATGATAAAACTTGAACAAATGATGAACAAATTTATGGATGAGCAAAGGAACTTGTCTCTAGAGATGGACTCTACTCCTGATGAAAATGCTGTGAAGATTGTTGATATGACAACAAAGGATTTAGAATATTACATAAACTTAGCTGACAAAGGAGAAGCAGGGTTTAAGAGGACTGACTCCAATTTTGAAAGTAGTTCTACTGTAAATAAAATGCTACCAAACAGCACCACATGCCATATAGCAATTGTTAGTAAAGATTACAATATAGTATAAACATAATTTTTATAGGCAACAAAAAACTCAAAAAATTCTGTGTGACTTGCTTTACAGGCATACCCCAGAGGTACTGCAGTTCAGTTCAGGACAACTGCATTTAAGTGAATATTGCAATAAAGAGAATAATAATCTTTGTGCTGGTGGAGGATCTTGCCTTCAATTTGTAAATAAAATGCAACAACTGTGAAGTACAATAAAGTGAAGGGCAATAAAATGATCTATGACTGCACTTCAATATTCACTTTACAAAGGTGGTCTAAAACCAAACCTGCAATAACGCTGAGGTATGCCTGTATCCCGTTCCATAATCTGTGTCTATTCTTAAACCAATACCACAATGTCTTAATTATTATAGCTTTACAGTAATTCTTGATATCAGGTAGTGTGCAGTTCTCCAAGTTTGGTATTCAGTATTCTAGATCTGTTGCTTCTTTCTATTAACTTTAGACCCAGTGTGTTGATATCTGCAAAATGTCTTGCTGGAATTTTGATGAGGATTGTACTGAACTGGTGAAGTTTTAAGGAACTGACAACTTAACAGTATCAAGTCTTCCAGTCTGTGGATGTGGAATATCTGTCCATTTATTTAGGTCTTTGATTTCTTTTGTCTTTTATGTAGTTCTCCCCAATAGATGCTATACATATTTTGTTAGATTTATGCTTCAATATTTCATTATTTTGGATGCTATTATAAATGGTAGTAATTTTTAAATTTCAAATTCCAATTGTTCCCTGCTGGTATATAGGAAAGCAACTGACTTTAGTATACTGATCATGTATCCTGTGACTTTGCTATACTCATACATTGGTTCCAGAAAGTGTTTTTTGTAGATCCTTAGGGATTTACTATACAGATAATTGTTTCACCTGTGAATAAAGACATTTTTGTTTTTACTCTTTCAATCTGTACATCTTTTATTTCCTCTTGTCTTATTGCATCAGTTAAAAGTTCCAGTACAATGTTAGTTAAGTAGGAATGGCAAGCAGGGACATAATATTATAAAATATTTATGTTCATAATGGTGGCTTTTAACTATCAGATCTGAAGTAAAGACAAATGATTTTCCTATTATGTATGCTCTACTGTCCCTGATCAAGGCATAGTGAAGAGTTAATTATGCATATTGCATTTTTCTGCTTTCAAACTATGCCACCATGGGCAAAATAAACCTCATGGGCTAATAAGTACATCAATAAAACACGATTATTTAAACATAATTTTTAGTTTATCTCTTGACTTTCAAAATTATAAAATGCTTTCAAAACTTACCATGAACTAAACTATTGGCAGGTGCTACAAGAGTATCCCACAAACATATGTTTCTGGGGGGGAAAAAAAAAGATTACTCCTGAGTACACAAAGTTAACAGAATAAAAACTATGTCTCATATAATTACATAACATTTGCACCTTGCTCTCACAGAATGTTCTTAACTTTATAAAAACACCCAATACACGTAACCAATATATTTATGTTTCATTAATTTTAAACAAAATTTAAAAAATACTGGCTCATAAAATTGAGTAACTCTAGATTAACATGTATTTAAGTGATACTATATGAAGTCTGAATATGGAAGCTACTTTTTATACTCATTGATTCTCTAATAGACTGCTATACACAAAGCAGGATACAATGAATTTTCTGGAGTCTGAAGAAAACTTTTTTCTACTATGAATGGGAGTAGCTTTTACTCCTTTCCATGAGTTGCAAGGGAGGCACCAATATATATAAGAATTTCTATGGAAGACGGATTGAAAACTCCATATTCCTATAACCCCATTTCAAGGGCAAAGTGACATCTTACAGATAATTACAAAAGCTCAGTAACCTCAGTGGGCCTTGATCTCTTAATTCAGCTATATGAGGTAAATCAAAAGCAGAGGTATGGAGATGGGGGCAGAAGACATTTTCGTGCATATTTAAGATTTTTGAGGGGATGGCAACAGGCTACTGCTTATTAGCTACTGTACAACTAACAAGTCTTTCTGGGTTTCTTTTTGTGAAACAGTGATTTGAGCCAGTGTGGAGTAGCACAATGGTGTGCCACAAGAATTTTTAAAAAATGCAACACCTGACTAGTCAGGGGCACTGACTTCTTTTCTCTTAGCTTGTCAAATAAAAGTATGACAACAGCAAACACTATAATAGCCATTGTTGTGAATGCCCTGTCTTGAACCTTGAATATATAGGTCATATAATAGAGTTGCCTCTTATTGATCACATTGTATAATAAGGTTGTGTCTCATTGATTAATCCTTGGTAAGAGAAATCCTTAAATACAAGTATAGATACCTGATTTTTTAAAAAAGTCACTTTGGAGCAAAAAGGGTAAGTAATTGCTATTATTATTATTTTTTAAATCAATCAAAATTATACTGTTTTTTGGTCAGGTCTGCAAAAAATATATTTTTTGCTGTGCAACAGAATTTTATTAATTAGATTATTTGTGACATGAGATGAAAAAGGTTGAAAATCACTGATCTATTTAATAGAGCCACAGTGAGGATTAAATAAATAACATGGATAATAACTAATAATTTGTTTTTTGGTTTTTTTTTTTTGCCTCAAGCTTCATTAACACATAGGGAATGATATGGAAAAAATTAATTCCACCAACAATCAAATCTTATTTCCTATACTAACATCTTAACATTAGAATATTAAAAACATAAAAGAAATGGATTTCTTCAAAAAAATTTTTGAATTTCATTAAATTTATTGGAGTGGCATTGTTTAATAAAATTATATGTTTCAAGTGTAAAATTCTATAATACATCATCTGTATATGTATTGTATGTTCACCACTCAAACTGAAGTCTCCTTTTAGCACCATGTATTTGACTCCATTTACCCTGTTCTATTTGGTTTTTATTTTTAATGGCACCTGAAAGCCTTAAATTTACAATTAGACCACTAAAAATGCCCAAAGAAATAATTTTTATAATAAAAACATTTAAAGGTATGATTATGAATACATTCTGGAGATGTAAAGGCATAAAGCAATTAAAAATAAAGATCAGCTATATATATATATACATAATCTCTTCAATTTCAGTTATAATCTCTTACCTATTGTCAGTTGAAAGACCAGCTGTAGCTATTAGAGAGGAGGAACTAATGAAGACAAAATCGTTGGCTGTTTTGTTATGACACTGCCAAGTCTGTAATGGTTATAGACAACAAATATTAATGCTATTAACAATTTTATAACCAGATAGATGCATTAATCAAAAAGTGGTCACATAATTTGTGGCTTACTTTGTGTCTTTTTTCATCCTGAACTTTAGAAAAGTTTCAGGGATAATACAGAGAAGTCTCACACACCCTTTACTCAGATTCACCTATTTTTAACATTTGCCACATTTGCTTTGCCTCTCCTTCATTATATACTTACACATACACACACAACTTTTCCTGAACCATTTAAATAAGCTGCCTACATCATGGCCCTTTAGGACTTCCTTTTTGCTGTTGTTCAACCAAAAGTTCAAAGAGAAACAAAAGGAGGTTGAATTGTAAATAATTCCCTTGGAATAGTTGTGAAAATTTTTGTCTTAGAAGACAGAAACTAAAATTTTTAGATTCTCAGGCAAAATTATTCATTTTCAGAAATATTTCAACTTTTAAATAATTTTTCATATATTTGAATAAAAACATATTACCAATAGTCAACAAAATTTAAAAATTTATACTTTTCAGTATTTCATCAAATAATAATATGAGTTAGTTATAAAGCTTTTCAAGTTTGTTCAGATGTTTCTCTTCAATAAAAAATGAGTTTTTAAAGATGTCAAAATCATCAAATGAAGATTTTTCCTCTGAGTCACTTCCCCAGTCCCCCCGCCCCCAACCTAATCACCCCCACTGGAGCCGGGCTAGATAATACGTCCTTAAAACAAACAAAATCTACTTCAATCTCCCAAAGTCAGTAAAATACATTTTAATCCAATTATCTCCTTATAAATTAAAAAAGGGACAGTCTCTTTGGGAAGATAAATTTGTATATTTCAAGCTGTTTGCTTAATAAAAAATATTAAGCAACCCCATTAACCCTGCCTTGCTTGCTTTCACTTATATTAGTACTATATTCCAGCATTTAACTTTGGGTGAATTACCAGAATCTTAACCCAAATTCTTTATTTTATCTTGATAGATATTGCTTAGTCCTATAAAGGGCTTTACTAAATAATGTGTTATATATAAATTCAGAGCTCTGCAAAGCTGTAGAAGGTTCATTAAGCCTGTGTAGTTCTGAATAGAGGTGTATCAATTTTTTTAAAAGAGATGAGCAAGAAAATAATAGTATTAGCTATAGAATATGCTTTCTACTTTGTTTGTTCATGAGGGATAACTGCAAAATGCAACCAGATGAACTGGTCTGTTGATTATTCTTTTTAGGTATAATACCCACTGCAGCTTAGTGAGGCTGGAAAAGGGCCTAAGTAGCCCACAGATTGCATGGGTCTCTGGAGATACCATGTTGGTTCTAAACAGCTTAATTTTACAAGTTACCAGAAATTTTTATACTTCACAGAGTAATTTTCACATAATACAAGGACAGGAGCTTATAGTAAACTGATTGAACATATAAGACTAGATGGATTTTATTTTTGGGCTTTACTATTTCTTGCCTCCAATATGTATTCTTGGTGTCTTTAAAATAAAAAATCATAAAATTTTAAAGTTAGGAATTCTTGGCTTACCAGGTATGGCTTAGGCATGCTTCCAGTAACTGGACAACATTTCCAGTTTGTTTGATACAAACTTAAATATCCATCAGCATCAACTATTCCAAACTTAGAGAAAAAACATTTAATAGTTTAATACAAATATAAAAGCATATATTTACCCTTACCCTAACTTTGAATCCCATATTTTGATTCTTAAACATTTGATTAATAAATTATTTGACTTTTAACTTCACTTACACATCTAGAAAAAACCTAGCTACTGCTTAAAAAAGTTGAAGGGTAGATATAAAGAAAGGAAACATCAAACATCCATTTTATTATACTAACGAACAGCATGGTCTGTACATTTTCTCTAAGTACTACAAAAGTAGGATACTTGATTTATACTTAAGCTATGTGACAAAGTTTTAGAATATATAAGATAGAACATTGTTCATTTTGAAAAAGACAAAATGAGAACTACCAGAAATATACAACAAGAAAAACATGTAAACAACAGTAGAGAGTAAAATGAAACAAAGATTATCATAGTAAAAGAGTTACACTATGGGAACTTGGGCAAGTTGATAGGGAAAATGTCAAAAACTCCAGTAAGGGATTATATAATACAGATCTTAAAGGATGAGTATAAATGCTAACAATTTTTTTCTTTAGATTATAAAAATAATGCATATATATATAAAGTATGTACAATCAAATAAACATCTAATTTGGATTCATGCTCTCTCCCATTTCCAGATCTAACAATAATTAACAATTTGATGGGTTGGATTTTTTTCTATGAATATTCAAACATTCACACATACAGAATTTTTTTAAAAATTAGAATCGTAATAAAAACAGTTCCACAATTACATTTTTTACCTATAGCCATCTTTCCACATTAGTACATATAAATCTACTACATTTATGTACTGTATAGTATTATACTATATAGTTCTATTATAACTTTTTGATATTTCTCCCTTATAGACAGTTTCCAACTTTCCCTACTATAAAAAGTGCTACTTTGAACATTCTTATATATATACCTTTGAGTATTTATGCAGGATACATATCTAGGAATGGCAAAGTATTGTCAAAGGCATCATTTAAAACTGTTAGGTGCAGATAAAATTAGATCCTAAGAGGTAATATTAATTTATACACCCACTTTTCTTACACATTAGTCAACACCCAACTTTACTAAAATTTTAAAAATTTGTCAATTTACAGAAGAAAGGCTGATTTTAATTGCCTTCCTTCAATTATTAGTAAGGGTCATTGGCCATGTATAACTTAATTAATGCATAATTGATTGTTCAGGTCTTTTGTGTACTTCTCTAAGTTGTCTTAAAAAATTTCATTGATAGGACTAATATTAGGAATATTAACCAACCGTTTACTATATTTGTTACAGATATTTTTCCAGAGTCTATCCTTTTTGTGATTTATCCTGTTTTTTGGAGTAGATCTAGGTATGTTTTCCAGAAAGGGTATATGGAATGTGTTAAGTCCCTACATATGTACATCAACTCATAGTTCTTCTTCCTTGCCCATCAGAATTCTGTAAATATTGTTTTACTGCCTATTTATAACCTCTTTTTAAAAGTGAGTCAATGCCATTAATTTTGGAGGGGTTGGTGGCAAGGTTTAAGTAACCATTGTTACCTCTACTCTGTCCTCAAAGCTCTCTTGATCTTTGGATTAAAAATAAAACAAAAATTAAATAATCAGGATGTGTCTAGGCATGCATGTGTTGTTTCTCAATACTTCTTGGTATTTGATGAGCCCTTCCTTTTCTAAAATTCTATTTTTTTTCTTTGCTTTGGGAAAATCTTTATTATTCCTTGAATAGAATGTTTCTCTTCCATCATTTTTGTCTTCTTCTGTAATACCTTTTAAGTGTTTTTTATAAATTTTGCTCAATCTAGTTTTTTATTTTTGGTTTATTTATCATGGGATAATTTCCTAATTTGTACTTCTCAATCACAAACTTGATTTTCAACTATTCCCATTCTGCTATTCAGCCCTTGCAAAGTAGTTGCCTAATAACCTAATTTTGGAGAATCATACATTTTTAATTTTCAAGATTTCTTTTCTTCTACTCACTTTGTTTTATAGCAGATTGTTCTTGTTTTGTCTTGTAATATATTCCTGGATCTGAGAAATTCTTCCACACAGGTCATTTATTTTGCCTAATGCCCTTTATAGGCTCTTAGTTTTTTGTTTTTTTTTTCAATGTTCAATGACTTTGGCAGCCCATTTTTATTTGTAATTGACAAACTGGTCAGCATTACTGTCATATTGTTATATGGGTCATCTGTTTCAATTACTCTCCTAGGCTTCCATACTAAAAAAGGTAATATGCTTAGGTGTTGTGGTATTTTGTCCCATCATGGCTAAGGTGAATCAACCGTAAGTTGACTGTCTGTCGAAGATATTTGGGCAGGTAATGAAGAATAATTTGTTGTGCCTTAAACTGGCCTATGTGGAAGGTTATAATGAGTGTTCAATCTGTAAGATAATTCATATTGTAGAAGGTCTTAAATGCAATGCTAAAGAGTTTGGGCTTCTAGGTAAGTATAAGAGGTGCCTTGAAGTTTTTAAAAATAATATGATCTTACATATAGTACATTTATATAACTATATTATTTGTTATATAACTTTGTTGGCAACATGAAGGATACATTAGAGAAATAAGGGTTGAGATACAGAATTAGTTTGGAACAATATAATATTTTCAACCAAAGTGGAAAAAGCGTGAGCACATAATGGATATTGATGGGTTATACAACTAAAAGCATAGTAGAATTCTAAAGGCTTCCAGATTAAATCCCCTTAATATCCCATGAAAGAGCAAAGAATGTTGCTAACTGGTATTAAGAAATTATGTGCTCTCAAAATTTTGTTTCATAATTACATAAAAATATTATCATTGACTTGTGAAATTGCAATAAAACCATGTGATAAATGCAGTAGGCAGAAAGGCTGCAGCTCAGCATGATACAAGCAACATATGAGAAAGGTTGAAGGTTTGCAGGTAGAAGGAAAAGGAAAGGCAAGATGTATCATTACTTAGGGTCTGTGTGAGTGTTTTTGATGAACCACGGCCCTGAAGACAAAGAGCAGGCTGATTTCCCCTTTAATAGTTTTTCTAAGTGCTAGTGAACTTCCAGGCAAGACTGTGGCATAGGTAAACATGGTACTTGCATCCTCCCACAACCACATCAAAATTACAACAAAAGCTCTGGCTGGGTAGCTCAGTTGGTTAGAGCATTGTCCCCATTGCTAAGGTTGCAGGTTTGATCCCCAGTCAGGGCACATACAAGAAGCAAGCAATGAATACATAAATAAGTGGAACAACAAATTGATGTTTCTCTCTCTCAAGAAAAAAAAAATTACAACTAAGCAATATAACCATCATTCGGAACCACCTGAAATCTAGCTGAATGAAAGTTCTAAAACAAAGGATACAGAGAAAACCACATTAAGATGCATAGAAGGGGTGGAGACATGGACTGATCTGGTCCCACACCCATGTGTGACTGATAAAATTCTAGAGGGGTATCTCGGCTCAGAGGTCCCCCTTGAGGATTGAGGGATCCAAGGTCCATCCCAGAGTTTCTGTGCCAAGAAGAGAAGTCCACGTAAATTCTGGCTGTAGATACCAGTGGAGATCGTGACTCAATGAGACTGAGGGCTGCCGGAGTCCCAGGTGTTTCTCTTAAAGAGCAAGTGCACAGACTTACACTCAAGGGGTAAACTCAGCAAGCACCAGAGCCCCACTGAAGTAAGTGCTGCTCCATGGTGTGGGCCCTGCTAAGCTAATAGTCCATAGTGGTAGAAGCCAGTTCTTGCAGCCATTTGCCTTGGGGGTAACTACCTCCCATTGATATGCCAACAGCAATTAAAGATCTATAATAGGAGGGTATACACAGCCCACCCAGGGTGGCACTCCTGAAGTGCCCAGCTCAGGTGAACAGGAAGGCTGTGCTACTGGATCCTAGAGGACACCTACTATATTGGACCACTCTACTGAGCCCTGTACACAGAGCAGCTCTACCTAATACACAGAAATAGACACAGGGAGGCTGCCAAAATGAGGGGACAAATAATGTCCCAAATGAAAGAGCAGAACAAAACTCCAGAAAAAGAAGTAAACAAAGCAGAGACAAGCAATCTGGTAGACTCGGAGTGCAACACACTGATTATAAGAATTCTCAATGAACTTAGGGAAGAGTAGATAAACAGAGAGAAACTTCAACAGCAAAACAAATAACATGGAAACCATAAAAAGAAACCAGTCAGAAATGAGGATACAAGAATCTGAACAAGGGATAATTTACAGGGAATCAACAGCAGAATGATAAAGCCGAAAATCAAGTTAGTGATTTGGAATATAGGGAAGCAAAGACAGAACAACAAAAAGAAATAAGAACTAACCCCGCACTCCCCCAACAAAAAAAATGGGACAGGGTAAGTAACCTCTGGGACAACTTCAAGTGTACCAACTTATATCATTAGGGCACCAGAAGAATAATTAAGAGAACAAGATATTAAAAACCTATTTGAAAAAAGAATGACAGAAAATTTCCCTAACCTGGTGAAGGGAATACGTACAAGTACAGAAAGTGCAGAGTCCCAAACAAGATGAATCCCAAAGAGGCTCACACCAAGACACATCATAATTAAAATGCAAAAATGTTAAAGACAAACAGAATCTTAAAAGCAGTGAGAGAAAACGAGTTACTTATCTACAAGAGAGTTCCCATAAGACTGTCAGCTGATTTCTTAATAGAATCTTTGCAGGCCAGAAGAGACTGGCAATAAATATGCAAAATGACGAAAAGCAAGGACCTACAACCAAGATTATTCTATCCAGCAAAACTATCATTTAGAATTGAAGGACAGATAAAGAGCTTCCCAGACAAGAAAAAGCAAAAGGAGTTCGCCACCAAGTCAGTATTTTGCGTAATGTTAAGGGTCTTCTTTAAGAGAAGAAGAAGAAAAATAGAAAAGACAAAAAATGTGAATAAAACGGCAATAAATACATATCTATCAACAACTGATAGATATAAATATCTATCAACAACAACAAAATAAATGATCAAGCAGAACAGAAACAGACTCATAGATACAGAGAACATTTTGATGGTTGCCAGATGGGTGGGGGTATTGGAGGGATGGATGAAAAAGGCAAAGGAACTAAGAAGTACAAATTCATTGTTACAGAATTGTCATAGGATATAGAGTACAGGGAACAGTCAATAATATCCTAATATCTATGTTTGTATCAGATGGGTATGAGATTTATCAGGATTATCACTCAGGAAGTTATATAATGTCTAATCACTGGGGTGTACACCTGAAACTAATATAATATTGTGTGTCAACTGTAATTGAAAAATAAAAAATGATTTTAAAAATAAACCCTGGCTGGTGTGGCTCAGTGGATTGAGTGCTGGCCTGTGAACCAAAGGGTTGCCAGTTCGATTCCCAGTCAGGGCACATGCCTGGGTTGTGGGCCAGGTCCCCAATAGGGGGCATGCTAGAGGCAATGACACATTTAAGTTTCTCTCCCTCTCTTTCTTTTTTCCTTTCCCTCTCTCTAAAAATAAAAAAAATAAAATATTAAAAAAATAAAAATAAAGTGCTAGTGTGATATCAGGTGCAGAGAGAAGCAGTTGAGGAAAGTGATCATGGGAAGTGAAAACATTAAGATATGTTCTAGAGCAGGGTCGGCAAACTTCTTTAAAAACCACATAGTAAATATTTGAGGCTTGCCAACTATAAAGTTCTCTTGAACTGTGTTGTTACAGTGGAAAAGTAATCATGGAAAGCAAATAATGAAAGGAGTAGCTGTGTTCCAATAAAACTTTATTTACAAAAAGGTGGCCCTGTTCTGGAGCAGTGCTTCTCAAAACTTTAATGTATGGTTAAAATGCAGATGGTGATTCATAGTCTGAAACAGAGTCAATAACTGCATTTCTAAGAAGCTCAGAGATGTTCCTTGCTACCAGGTACTTGACCACACTTTGAGTAGGTTCCAGCAGAGAAACAAAGTGTTTAATCGAAAATGTTTAATATAATATAAGGTGGTCCTATCATTATCGGGTCCTAAAGTATCATTTAAGTGATTTTTAACAGACATATATACAACATTTTTCCAGAAAGAACCAAATGAATTTAAGTGTTCTTGGAGAGAGTTAAAAAAAAATTCATATAGATTAATGCTTTACCATTAGCTCATTGTTGTCTTCAGAAACCCAAACCTGTCCTATATATAAACCTCCAACACAATCAAACCATTTTCCCATTTGCATTTTTATATACTACCTTATTTCCCTGGTAGTTAAATCTCATTCTTGTAACTCTTGAATTGCCACCAGATCGAAAGCAGGTTATCTGTTGAGAATGGCCCCATTCAAACATTCTGACACTTCCATCTTGAGCTCCTGTCAGATCTGCATTATAAGAGGGCAAAAATTACAAAAGTATTTCATGAATCTTTGGAAAAATTATTTTTTAATCCAATGTGAAAATCTTTATAAAATAAATGCCTAAGAAATGAATCATAGTTAATGTACATGAATTTACCTTTGTATGAAATTTCACTTGAACACTCTTGATCTTAAAACATAGTTATATGATGTTCTTTTATGTGATTGAGAAGATATGTTCACACAAACCAGAAGTAATTAAATCAGACCTCTATATATTTTATTTTAAAATTATCACACTAAAGTTTTAATAGCTTTTAATAAATAGATTTTATAATAACCACTTAAATTCTTAGGATTACTAAAGAGTTAATTCTTATCAGTCATACTATTAATAATTTAAATTTACACCTTTTTTTCTAAGGGAAAAAACACTGTAGAAGGCCTTGAATGTCATGATTAAAAATATTTCTAATAGTTATTCTGATTGACTTGATATCTCAAATATGTTATTTGTGTCATTGAAAAATATGAACAAGCTAAATCATTACTAATTCTTCACTTCACCATTTATGAATTGTATGATACTAGGAAACTTACTTTAATCTCCCTGAGCCTATTTCCTTCCTGTATCAGGAGAATAATACCTTAGAAGTTAATTTATGTTAAGTATAATTATCAGTATTAATAAAATATAGAGGTCATGAGAAATTTTATTGATGTATATAGAGATCTAGCACATTGCTAGGCATATATGACTCAAGATTCCTTATTTCTTACCAAGTATTTAAAAGAAATGGACTTCAATTGTTTTGTTTGGTTTTTACTTTTTAAAAAATTGTTGTTCAAGTACAGTTGTCTCCATCCCCCCTCCCCTGACCTACCCTCCCCCACTTCCCCCTTAATCCTACCCCCTTTGACGTTGTCCATGGGTCCTTCTTTATACGTTTATCTTGACGACCCTTCCCCTTCTTTCCCGTTATCCCCCTTCCCTCTCCCCTCTGGTTACTGCCAGTATGTTCTTTAGTCAATGTCTCTGGTTACATTTTGCTTGCTTATTTGTTTTGTTGATTAGGTTCCACTTATAGGTGAGATCATATGGTATTTATCTTTCACCACCTGGCTTATTTCACTTAGCATAATACTCCCCAGTTCCATTCATGCTGTTACGAAGAGCACTAGCTCTTTCTTTCTTTCTGCTGCGTAGTATTCCATTGTGTATATGTACCATAGTTTTTTGATCACTCATTTACTGAAATGTTTTGACACTGGTGGGTAGAATTCTTGAGACTGGGATGTTAGCCCTAAGCTAGTCTAGCAGCATTTATCCAAAAAATTAAACTGGGCTAGTTGTGTTTAAAAACCACTCAAATTTCTCTAATATTATTTTTGGCTTTATTTATTTGAGAAAAATCCCTTATTATTAGAATCTGACATATAAAATGAAATAGTCTCTTAAAGCCTTCGTAACCTAAGATTTTAAAGAACAAGACAGAAGCTCCTATAACCAGTCTGTCTGAGCAAATATCCCTCATTAGCAACTGAAGAGTATCATATCAAAGTGGTAAGAAATGAGTTAATTACAAAAATAAAAACCTTAATAAGTTCGTAAGCTTAAAAAGAAAGTCCTTTTAAGATCATCATTTCTACTTTAAACCAACCCATTTGCCTAACTTCTAAAATTTTCCCTAGAGTAGAAGTAAAAAAATAGTGACTTCTAGTAACTAAGACATTTAAAAATCTACTCCAAAGGAAGAAAACTATTATGAAGTAACTGAAATTCAGAGTAAAATTTTAAAGAATCCTCTTATTTCCACATAAAAAATGTTTATTGCTGAACTAAATCACTATCTGTGGGACTTGATCATGATATGAAAAGATATACTGAAATAAAATTCAGTGATTAATTGGCTTTTAATTTTTTAAGTCTCTTATCTGCCAGTTACAGTATTTCTCTGAAGAAAGTATTTATGCCAAGACAGAAGCGATCTGATGTTACTTAATGACTCTGAAAATATGTCCATTAATTGCCTTTGAAACTAGAGGACTCTTCAAATTTATGGAATTGAGATAGAGAATATTTCCTATAAACTCATCACCTGTCAGGACACACGATATGGGGATGAGAAAAAATGAAGTCCTTTCAACATCTAAGGACATTTCCAAACCTTACTGCATACAGTAGAGTCAAGATAGATTTATAAGCCATGCCAAATGTTTCTTGCTGTGGGAGTAACATTATTTAAGCTTTGTATATAAAACACATTTGACTCCTTTTTCTCTATGCTTCATGACTGATTCTTAGTTTTCACTTCCCATTAGACTTGTGGACTCAACACATACTTCTAGTGTTGAATAAATTCAAAGTAGTAAAAACAGGCTAATTTTTTAAATATTTTATTTCTCTAGTATAAATAACAGAAATTACTCTCTTCATTTTAAATATATGGTTCTCTTGAACCCTTTTATTGGACACTGGTATATAATTTTGATAATAGATGCTTATGATAATTAAGTTGAAAAGAACATTGGTTTTGTTAATTATATTGTATTAGAATATCTCTCAAAAAAAGTAGTAAAATTTTTATAGGTTATTAAGTTGGAGGGACATGAATACCTCTTAATGAACATGTTCTACTTTTGTTACTATATGGTAGGACAACTTAAACATTATTGTAAAAAACTTGGACTACTCACATGCCAATAGGAATACTGATTCTAACCCACTAGTTAATTTTTAAATTCTCTATTATTTTTTCTCTGCTTCAATACTTCCAATAAATTCCCCATTAATTAAGTTCTTTGTTAAAGGAAGAAAAACTTTTGAGATTCCTAGAAAGATTAACTCAAAATAAATATACGCTGCCTTAGAAGAACTTAACTGGTTATCTCCTATACTTACTATTAGTGTGCCTGATAAAAGGCAAATTCACATAATTATAATAAAATACAAAAACTGCTTATGATGAAGTAATAAATGACCAAAATATGGATCTGGTTTATTTAATAAAAGATGGAAGTGATTCCATTAAAAAAATGATCAACCACAGCTTAACATTGTGTAGAGTCCAGTAATGGCAAAAATAAAATGTGGTAACTTAAAAATATGTAGTCAAAATGCTAACAAGGTACTGTATTATGTTAGGCTTCTCTATTAATTCAGGGAAATTTTCTTTTTTAATCCAGTTTTGAAATGAAGATCTTATTTGCTAGCAAACACTCCCTACAAAAAAGTAAAGTAAATGTTGACTATCTTTTGATTTAAACTAAAGGCTTCCTTTAAATTCCTTAGAATAATGGCTAATAATTATCAACTTACAGTAAGGAAGAGTGGGATGAGAAGTCATTCTTCTGACATTATTAATGGCTTTCTTAATCATCTGTTAACAAAGAATATGACTCTTAGTTGCAACAGTAGTATTAAAAATTTTACTTGTGACAGGAAATTCAAATAACATTTATTTATTTATCCATATGTGATTCCATAATTTCCATTCTGAGTGGTAAAAACACTAAACATGGTAAGAGAAATTAACTTTAACAGCTCAGCTCTTACACATAAATGTACATACATTTTCTGCATCACTGACTAGGCTCTATGAACAAATTCACCTTGAGTGTTTAGTCTTACCTTTCTTGCCAATTCTTTTCTGATCCCATTAAATTTATTGGAATAATCCTGAACAGTATAAGGGAATAAAGACAGGCAGAAGCATGTGAAAAAAAAAAGAGGTAAACAGAAAATTGTATAAATTTTTAATTGATAGTTTGGAACTGTTTATTTACCCATTTGTAAATCATGTTTTGAATGATTTACAAAGCCTGCCACATAAAAGTGAAATATGAATGTGAAAATAAAAAGAAAATTTTAATTTATACAGTACCATAACTACAGTTATATTTTACCCTGTTTGTAGCATTACTTTCATGTACACTTGTTGCTGTTTTTGTTTTTTCATTTTAAATTGTTCAAATAGCCTAAAGTAGTAAGGAAAGTGGGCATTTGATAGGGAGGGAAGAGATTATCCAGTGGAACTGCTGAGGGATAAAAACACTGAAAGATATAGAGATGTAGATAATATGCCAATGAGGCAGAAGTTGGTTATAACAAGTGTTCTTCTTTGTTAGTATTCACTGTTCAATAAGGGGATTAAAAAACTATTTTATCAATTCTCCACATAAAATGAAAACCTGCTGAATGTTATTTTTGTTTAGTAAATTTCATGTTTAAATCTTATCTGCCTTTTAATTAGAGAAATGTCTAAAGATTTCTGTTGTTCCCTTTACCTTTTTTCTAACTGATATTTTCTGACTAAAGCATCAAAGAAAATGATGAGTATAAAAAATACACAAACACAACTTTACAAAAGTTTCTGAAAGCAGATATAAAACATTATAAGGGAAAAAAGTTATTAATTATTTTAGAAGATCCATATAAAAAAAAACATATTGTCTTTTTGAGTACAGAGTGAGGAAATAAAAATACTTAAGTTTACAAATCACAATGTCTCCAACTAAACATATGTCCTTTAGATAGAAAGAAAATTCAGTTCCAAGAGGAATGACAATGGTTATTTCTGTATTATAATGCTTTGGAGTATAAAATATTTTTGAGCACCTACTATACACTAAATGCCATTTTAGTTAGAGATCATTAGTGTATTTGGCAGGCATAAAGTAGCCTCTCAAAGAGCTTACATTCCAAAGGGTATAAAAAAAGGTACCCAGAAAACAGCTAATTTCAAAATTGACAAAAGCTACAAAGATGATAAAATAAAATGACATAAGGTTACTGTGGGTAGAGTAGGGAAGGGCAGATGCCTTCACTAGGTAAGCAAGGGAAATCTATTGGAATATGAGTTAAGATTTGAATGGTAAAACAGAAAATGAGTATTTTAAGCAGAATGCAAGGCATCATTCTGACATGGCGATGAGCTTGATTTGTTCCAGTGACAGAAAAAAGTCCACTGCAACTAGGGCAAAAAGAATCATGTGTGCAGTGAAGGGAAATAAGGCTGCCAGAGGCAAATCACATAGGGCCTTAGAGGCCGTGTTAATAAGGACTTGTTTTTTTCAAGCTGTATTGAGAAATCTGAAAATGTTAAGTAGGCGAGTGACGATCTAAATGATGCTTTGGAAAACAGCAACTCTGGTTGCTGTGTACAGAACAGAGGAAGCAAGTGTAGAAGCAGAAAGATCAGCAAAGCTGTTATAAGAAGAACTGTATTGTAGTCTCTGAAACTGAAGGTGGGAAAAAAAAGTCTATTATTTCTTTTCATATATTTTATATATTATCTCTAAGTTTCCCTGTAAAAGATAATAATATCAGTAAGTTTTATAAATGAATTTTAATATATCTGTCATCTGAAAAAAAAAACAAACTATTAACGACCAAGTCACTTATTTGAATAATTATTAGATGGAGTTTCAAATTCTTCAAGTACTCTAGTCAGTGTGGCTCAGTTGGTTGGAGCATCATCCTGTAGACCAAAAGATCATGGGTTCAATTCCTGATCAGGGCATATACCTAGGTTGCAGGTTTGATACCCAGTCAGGGCACATGCAAAAAGACAGCTGATCCATGTTTCTCTCTTACATTGATGTTTCACTCTTTCTCTCTCAAAGCAATAAAAACTGTCCTCAGGTGAGTATAAAAATAATTTTTCTTTTAATTTTAAAAATGCTACTATCTGAAATCAGTGAGCTAAGGAGAATGGAGGGCTCTAATACAAGCTCTATCACAAATTTGAGACAGTGATCCGAATTAAATCATTTGACATTTGTGGATCTCAAGCTTTACCTGAGGAATAAGTAGGAGTAATTGTAACAGCTGTAATAGACATCTCAAAGAATTAGGTGATATGAGTAATAAAGGAACTCCATTCAGAATAAAGTATTATTAGATGTTATGGAAGATGATTAAGCCTATATTTAAATAACTACCCTTACTAATTAGAGAATTTTTTTTTTTTTTGGCCAAAGGAACTGAAAAACAAAAACAAAAACTCTACCACCTAGAAAGCACTAAGAGAATTAAGGTGTTGGGTTTCTTCAATTCTATGTATCAATTTCTATACCCTAACTATCAATAAAGGAATTTCATGGAGGTTTTACCTGGATCACATCTTTGGTAACCAGGGCTCAAGAAGATCTTTCATTACTACAGAAAAATTCCATTTCAGCTCATCTGCATTTTATACTTTGCTTAAATTTAACACAATTATATTGTTTTCATTTGTAAAAAAAAGAATACTGTATTTGTCTTAGCATTCAAAAAAGGCATAGTTAATATGGACATAGTTGTTAGTTACTATCTATTAAAAGTATTATCTAGATTAGGGTTTAGCAAACTTTTTTATAAAGGACTAGATAATAAATATTTTGGGCTGTATGGGAATATGGTATCTTTCTCAGATACTTAATTCTGCTATTGTAGCATGAAAGCATTCATAGGCAAAATATGAACTAATGATTATGGCTGTATTCCAATATAACTATATTTATAGGTACTAAAATTTGAATTTCATATAATTTTCATGTGTCATGAAATACCATTTTTCTTTTGATTTTTTTTTCAACGACTGAAAAATGTAAACACTATTCTTGGTATGTTATCTACACAAAAACAGGTGGTGAGTAGAATTTAACCCATAGGCCGCAGGTTGCTGATTAGATAAGTCCCAAATAATTTTTACAGCTCTTTTGCCTTTTAAGTTATTTATTTAAAATATTTTTTATCTTTTAAAAATGAGAACATATTACTGTTCATAATTAAAATTTACAATTTGTAGCAAGTATGGCTTACAAAAAAGTTAAAAATTTTTAGATCACATTGATTAAAACATCCTTTATCTATTAAGCTAGAGGGAAAAATAGGATATTTATATGCAAATATTTTTAGCTTTACATACCACAGAAGCTCCTCTGCCAGTCTGTGTACTACCAAGCCACGGCATGTTGATTGGAGTGCCAGGACTGCTATGTGTATATGGGGTTGTACCTTGCACAGCGGTTAAATCATCACGAGCATGTATAACCAGGAAATCATCTGACCTACAAAGGGATGTCAATCAGAATGAAAAAACCATTTTTTTCCTTCTATTATACCTGAAAGCTCTAACATATGACTTTGTTTTCCTTTAATATTAATTGTTTTTTGCCCTGGCCAGTGGCTCAGTTGGTTGGAGCATTGTCACTGTGGACCAAAAGTTCATGGGTCCCATTCCTGGTCAGGGCACATACCCAGGTAGCAGGTTTGATCCCCAGTTGGGGATGTCAGAGATGGTGGCCAATCCATGTTTCTCTCTTGCATTGATGTTTCTCTTTCTCTCTCTCCCTTCCTTTCTCTCTAAAAGCAATAAAAAAAATGTCTTCGAGTGAGGATTAAAAAATAAATAAAACTGTTTTCAGCTCTTATCTCCAAACTCATAAACAATAATGTCATAGGTAAATAATTTCAGATTTCTTCACTTATTCTCTTTTAATTCCCAATTACCTTCTTTAGAGCTCCTAATACTCCCCTCTTTGCTCTTTAGCATCTCAGCTTCCACTTATTATCTAGAAGTACTCCTTTAGAAAGTCTTTCTAAAGTTAAAGTTCTGTGGCATCATCATTCAAATTGCTATGTTAATGAAGAAAAACAAAGTATAAAGATACCCTTTGGTTTCCATTTCTATATCATCGTCTACCCAAGTATAGATCTGTGTAGCCAGAATTCCAGAAACATCCAGTTCTTGGACATCATGGCTTGAAGCAATTGCTATGCAGTTTCTATTTGCCTGAAAAATAAATCATACAGTAAATTTTCAATAATAAAGCACAAGATGGATATAAGCTACTTTTGAAAATGAAAACTACAAAACGGCCTCAAGAAATGATAACTTTAAGTTACAGAATATACAGTATCCTTACAAGTGAATATTTTAAAAATTAAATTTTGAGTATAACAATCACCAGCTTGAGCTTGGAGATATGTTTATGTTCTAAGAATTCAAAGACATTCAACAGAAAGCTACTATAAGTGGTAATGGATGTTCTACTTTATTTCTTCCAGCACTGCCTCTCTAGTTTACTAGAATGGTACAATCTCTCCAAGGTCCACATAGGTTATAAGTGAGGAGGGAGACAATAATGAAGATAGGAGCCCTGGAAGGTAGAGAAAAATGAGGGAGATAAGGAACACTAAAGTAAAGAAAGAGTGGTGAATTATTCAAATGAGGTAATATCACATTCACCTAAAGCCTTTCAATCTTAGGTAAGAAAGGCAGAACTTGGGAAAGAGTCATAAAGTAAAAGTGCAGGGGTAGGGAAAGGATGGGGGAAGTATGCCAAAAAAGGTCATAAATGAAAAGTTAGATTAAATATCTATGAGTTAAAAATGTACATCACTAAATCAGAAAATGGAAAGATACTGACTGCAAAGATAAAAGAGGATTAATATTTCCATAATTATGTAAAATGCTAATACAAACTAATTAGAGGAAAAAAACAGACCCCAGAGATAAATGGAAAAAGGATATAATTAGATTGCTGGGAGATAATTCTTCCTGGGTCTCTTCTGTGTATCAAGACAGTGAGTCATTGACTGCCCTTTGTTCAACAGCATATCTCTAGGACTTCAATAGAGCTATAATCTCTCCCTCTAAGAACAAAGGGCATGTATACTTACTATCATTAAAAAAGGATTTGAGTTCCCTAAACTCAGTGTTTCTCTCCCATAATGCAAACCACTTTTCTGCGCAGGTATCAAACCGCCTCCCTCCCCGCACCCCCCACCCCCCCCTACTGCCCCCTGCTCCCTGCCCTGTCACTGTGAAATAATAGCTTAGAAACCCTACTGCTTTTTCTACTAGAATTAAACTATCCTTTGTTTCTGGTCCAAGAGTCTTGTGTCTGTTAACAACATCCATTAAACTGTGAAAGCTAACTTGTTAGCTAGTATGCAGAGAAATAATCTCAGATCCTTCACAGTTTTGAACACGAAATTTACAACTAAACAAATGGGGAAAGTTCAATCTCTTTTGCATTTTTAAATACTGCAATGTAAAGCAAAAGGTATTATTTCTCAGCTACAAATATAACAAATGTGGAGAAATAAAAATTAACCAGGTCCACTATTACACACTAAATGGCAGACTTTGTATATGTGGTTGATTGTTCATTACTAGTTTCCCATATACATCCCGCCCCCACAAAAAGCAAAATGTTTGTTTTTTAGCACAGAATACATAAAATCATATTTCCTTCAGGGGAAAGAAGGTACTTCTTGAGTGTAGACAATAATTTTGTATTTGTATTTGACATGTATATTCCATACTACAACATGAGAACTTCCTGGTTAAGGCCTGCTTCCAAACCTGCCTGTCTCGACAGAACTAGTCTTGTTCAGGGGAAGATGACTATGAGGGAAATGAGACAAAGGATTCATAAAAAGATGAGGACAGAATGATAAAGGAACCATCTAGGAGAAATCAAAGAAAAGAGACAAGTAGCACAGAAAGACAGAGAACCATTTGGCGAAAAGATTAGTAAATGTATGCCATAGGATATATATCTAAATAATATTTAAAACTTGTTTTTAAATTAGAAATACATCAAAAAGGATATAAGAGGTTGGTGAGGAAAATGTCCAGCCATTGTTAACATGACAGGAATGGTCTGTACAACATCAATGTAACCTGGCAGCTAAGGTGAGAGGACTGGAATGCACGTGCATGAACAGTGAAGTCATCAGTGGGGGCTTGTAGAAGTCAGTGAGAGGGCATGTGTACTGTGTGGCTGTTGCCCTCACAATGACAGAGCGAGAAGAGCAACAAATCTGCATCAAATTTTATGTTAAACTTCAACGTTCCTCTGTGGGAACTATTTGTATAGTTAAAAAGGCTTTCAGTGATGATGCAATGAGTGCAGCACAAATAAAAATGTGACACAAACACTTCAAAGATGGTTGAGGATCTGTTGAAAGTGATCCACCTTCTGGAAGGCCTGCAACAAGCAGAACACCTGAGAACGTTGAACATGTACAGTCTGAGATGAACAAAGATCGGCAACTCTCAGTGAGAGAACTAGAAGCTGATCTGGGGATTCCAAAAACTGCTGTGTCTGAGATTTTAACGCAGGATCTTGGCCTGAAACACGTTGTGGCAAAACTCGTTCCATGGCTTCTGCTACCAGAGTAGAAAGAACATCATGTTGCAGTTGCTAATTACTTGATTCAAAGCACTACCAATGAACCAGATTTCCTCAACAAGGTCATAACTTTGAAGGGGACTGAGGCGTCATTGTCCTATGTACAATGTTTCTTGTATCTTCTTAAATAAATGTCTCTATTTTTCATATTGCATGGCTGGATACTTTCTGGATATACCTCATATATATCCTTAAAATTAATGAAAATAAAAGGAAACAAGAATTTCTAGAAATCACATAAACTCTACAGTAAAGCAAACAGGTAAATAGAAGAGCGAAATGATTAAGACAAGTTTCAACCTTGGACCACTCTATATAAGGCTACCTCTTCTGTGAGTAGGCTCTAAAGAAGATGTTGAGCAGAAGGCTAAGGAATACAAAGAAAACACTCTAGCTGAGCAATTATTACATCTGTAGGTCAAAGAGGGAGAATTACTCTGAGTCACACAAGCTTAAATTTGATCTAATATTAAGACCCACATTCAACATGATCGAATAAGGAAAATAGAAAACATTTTATTTGGGTAACCCTTATAATGTGTTACAGAAAGTCTAAAGGCTATTGCATATGTAAATACTTGATACTTCTCTGTGTACAGTAATAAAACATTTTATCTGCTATATATTTAAAATAAAAAATAAATTATCAAACAATATAATCACTTTATAAAATAAAACATTTATTCAGGTTGCAATTTTAGGAGTGGTAAATAGCTTTGGGAAAAAGAAATACTGATACTAAACAAACTGATAGAACAGGAAACACTCTCCAACTATAACTACTTAATACTTGAAGAAAAATGTCTGTACTTACTTTATTAACAGCAAAGGCAGTAATGATATCAGATTCCTTATGAATAATTCTTGCTTTACCTCCAGGATATCCAAGATCTGCTTCTATCTACATGGAGAAAAAGAAAATATAAAAATACAGTGATTTTAGTAATAAAGAATATTATATGCAATCTGTTGTATAATGCCTGCATAAATTATTTTCAGAAACTCTTTAGATATTTCAAATGCAAAGGCACTATGTTACATGGTCATTTTCCCCAAAACAAAGCTTATTTTACAAGGGGGAGTTAATCTTTTCAAACTTGTTTTTTCACATAAGATAGTTGATATGTATAACGAATGAGTACAACTTCATTAATTGCTTATGTTCCCAAGCTGTAATGACTTAAGGATCAAGAGAGTTTAAAGTAGGATTTGTTAACTACATTTTTTAGTATTATAATCCTTTGATAATATTTTATAAATATTAAAAGATTAGATGGTAAATATTTTATGTTTTGTGGACCATGTGTCACTGCTGTATATTCTTTTTTAAAACTATCTATATAACAATATAAAGACCACTCTTAGCTCACAGCCTGTACAAGAACCAGTTGGATATAGCCTGCTGGTTATGGTTTACTGACTCCTGGTCTAAAATAACATTTAATTTATAGAAGAAAAACTTGAAACCCCAAAAGGCAGAGTAGTTTGCCCAAGTCAGTAATAATTTTAGTAGCTGAGTAAACCATAATTCAACGTACTTTAGATGAGAAGTATATTTGACCTTATGCTCACCCCAGAGATGTATACAATACTTTTGAACTTGAAGAGAGCAGTGTATAAAATGAACATTTACTAAAATATTTATATAAATTTTTTATTACCTCTGAGGAAAAGAGGAAGAAATTATGAAGAGCTGGGAATGTTGCTTAATGTAGGATAACTTCATTTTATTTTATCCTCCCTAAACTTCAATCTTTAAAATGAATTACTATAAAATGGTTTGCAACTTACTGTGAAGTACAGAGCTATTAATTTGAAATTAGAATACAAATTTACTTCCAGCAAAATTTAGATAAAATATCACTAATGTCCATCTATTGTTTGACCACAGAACTGCGTAGGGTTGCAGTATTTTTAAAAATGGCAACTGAGATGCCCATATAATTACAAAGTTGAAAGAGAATTATAAATAACCAAACCAAAAGAGCCCTATGCAAACAATTCATAGTTACTGGATATAAAGATGTCCAATATATTCTGATCTAAAATGCAATTTAATTATAAACATAAAGGAATTTTATGTAAGAAACTAGTGTTTGCTAAACATTGGTTTATTTGAGGGCTAACTCTTCTAAGGAAAGTCAAAGCTATGCTATGAAGCCCATCAACCAATAATAACAAAGGATAAGATTTGTTAATTTTATGGCAAAATTCCAACTTAGCAACCTCTCTGCCTGGTATCTAAAGCCCATCAAGTGTCCACTACTGGGTTCTGAAGAACTTAAAAGTACAGAAAATTATATTTCCATGAAATGGAGGGACATGTTATTTGCTAATAATGGGTGGGTGGGTGGGGTGGACATAAGTTTCACCTGCAGAGCTTCTTCAAACTTGACACTCACTGGGGTGAAAGATCTTGCAGCATGAAATTCAAAAAAGCTTCTCCAATGTGGGAATACATTCCTGTCCTCTCATTATCTAGATTTAGATTTACTAAAACAGTTTCTTAACAGCCTGGGCCCAAGATAGCCTTTGTGGGAGTCAACTTGTGGGTGGGGCAGAGGGGGGGGGGATAGGAATGGTGTTTAGCATCTCAAGAGCTATGCATATTTAATTTTGAGAACAACCAAGTGTTAGGGGATGAGATTGGAGAAGTAGGAAGGATTTAGTTCCCACAGGTCTTAGAATTCATAAGAGTTCAGATTTTATTTTAAGGCTAGAAAGGAATTGGAGGGTTTTAATAGTTCTAAGTGTTGTGAGGCAAAACATAAAGCACGTGTGAACAGTTCCCAGGAAACCACTTAAGAGGCTGCCACAGTAACTAAAGTAACAGGCAATGGTGGGTTTGATTCCAGTAGCAGGAATGGTGGTATGGTAAGTGTTTGGAATTAGGATGAATTTTGTTAAATGGACTGAGAGCAGTATGAGTAAAAGATGAAGCAAGGCTGATTCCCTGTTTTCAGACCTGGTAATTGGGTAAGTGGAGGTACCATTTACTGAGACAAAAGTAAGGGAAAGAGTGGGTTTGGGCTGGGATTAGGTGAAAACAGAAAATTCTGTTTTAACATTCATGGAAGGCAACTATTAGATTATATATGCAAATCTGGAGTTTAGGAAATAAATGCGGATGCTGAGATTTAGGAGTTTTCAGAATCTGGATGATATTTAAGCCACGAGATAACCCAGGAAAAAAGTAACATGCTGCACAGGTTTATAGTCTAGGAGTTGTAGGGTAACAGAATTTGCCACCCCAAAACGTTTTTTTGGCATAAAAATTATTTTAGGCTGATTAATTTTAAGAAACAGTACACTTAGGAGGAGCTCTAAAAATCAAGTTATAATAAAAATTATCCTTTGTAAAAGATATTTACATTTGTAATGGAAATCTCTATTAGTAAGTTTCTCCCTAACTGTATCAGAGAGTGATGACTTTGTCTTCAGAAACTCTTATCAATTCAGAAGACAAAGACTTAAATCTGCATAATATCCTTATTCTTGTTTACTGTGCTTTTCCTGGTAACCTCCCATAAGTGACTCACCCCACTCCCAATATCTTTTGTCTTCAGCTGAATGATATTTAAGGTGGTGGCTTCAGTCATTTTGGCAAGTTACTCAGTTTTCGTTGGTCTCTCCAATATATACAGGGGGTATACAAGTTATTAAGCTTTTATTTTTCTCTTGTTAATCTGTCTTTTATTACAGGATGTCTCAGCCAAGAAGCCAGAAGTATAGAGAGAAAGTTATTTTTCTTCCCCGACAGGGCAACAGTCTATATCATATAACCTGGGTATGTAGTTGCCTATATTTTCCAGGTTTGTATTAAGTATGCTATGAGGTCCAGCAATGATGAAATTACATAATAATGCATTTCTCAGACTGTATCTCTGTTGTTAAGCTGTGTGTGACTACAGTAGCAAAAAAAAAAAAAAAAAAAAAAAAGCACTTGACAAAACCCAACATCCTTTTCTGCTTACAAACTGTTAATGAGTTAGGAATAGAAAGAAACTTCTTAACCCTATAAAGGGTATTTAACAACAACCTTTTAGATGACATGTTACTTAATAACAAAAATTGAATGCTTTCTCCCAAGATAAGAATGTCTGCTTTCATCATTCCTATTTAATATTAGACTAGAAGTTCCAGTCAGTGCAATAACACAATGGGATATTAGCATAAAGGTAAACAAATAGATCAATGGTCCAAAATAGGGACCAGCAATAGCCTTACAAATATATGTCAATTGATTTTTTTAAAAAAGGAAAAGGCAATTCAATGAAAAATAATCTCAACAAACAGCATTGGAACAATTGATACACAGATAATTTAAAAAGTAACTGTGATCCATACTTTGCATCACATAAAAAATTAACTCAAAATGTGTAATAGATCTAATTGTAAAACTAAAACTATAAAATACTAGAACAGAGTAGAAGAAAATCTTTGTGACTTTAGGTTTGGCAAAGGTTTCTTAGATATGACATCAATTCACTTACAGTGTATAAAGGATTTGTACTTAGACTATAAAACAAACTGTTAAAACTCAATTAAGAAAACATACAACCTAATAAATACATACAATTTGGAGAGACACTTCAACAAAAATGTTACACAAATGGCAATTAAGCACACAATCTGATTTTCAATACAAATTAAAACCACAATTAACTACCACTACACACCTACTAGAATGGCTAAAATAAAAGGCTGACAACCATACCAAGTGTCAGTGAGGATGTGAAGCAACTGGGATTTTATATACTGCTGCTGAGAATGTAAAATGTTTCTACCACCCTGGAAAATACTTGAGAGTTTCTTAAAAAGTTAACCACACACCTATAATATAATGTAACCATCCCACCCATAGGCATTTACACAAGAGAGACTTGTGCATGAATATTCCTAGCAGTCTTATTTGAAATAGTTCCAAAATGGAAATAGTTTAAGTGTTCATCAACAGGTTAATGGATCAACAAATTTTGGTACTGCCATACAACGAACACACATCAGCAATAAAAAGAAATAAAATACTGAAATATACAATATGTAGGAATCTCAAAATAATTATATTGAGAAAGTACATAGACAAGAAGGACATATTGTATAATTTCATTAACAAAAGCTCCAGAAAATGCAAACTATAACATCAGGAAGCAAATTGGTAGTTGCCTAGAGAGAAAGAGGACAAAGGTGAGGCAGGGGGTAAGCAAGGGAGCGATTAAAGTTTTGGGGGTAATGGATATATTATTTTTTAAAAAATTTTAATTTATTGATTTGAGAGCGTCAGAGGCAGAGACAGCAACTTGCCTCTCTGCACATCCATGCATTCCTTGGTTCTTTCATGTGCCCACTAGAAACTGAACTCACAATGTGTGTATTGGGATGATGTTCCCAACCCACTGAGCTACCTGGCCAGGGAGGTTATATTAATTATTTTGATTGTGATGATGGCATCACCCATGTACACATATGTGAAAATTAATCAAACTCTGCTTTGAATAATATATGTACTTATTGTAAGTCAGGTATAGATAATAAAGCTGTTTAAAATAAAATTGTCACATATGGCTTGAAAAACTCTGGCCAAAAAAAGGTTATAATGTTAACAAAACACAATGGCTGACTTTCGATGTAGTGTGATGACTATAGTAATACAACATTCTAATTAACATTTTATAAAAGAGTCAAAAGAAAAAAATCTTTGGATAAGGATTCATGATACTGTATAGACAGTAGTAATTAGTGATTAGTACAAGGCAAGGAATATTGTTAACTAATTAAAAGTTTGATTTATATTCACTCAAAACTCCCAAAGGCCATCAGAAATTTCTCAAGTATAGACTGCATACGCTTATTTTGACAAAGTTTTAGTTATAATACTTGACATCGAGTCAGTCTTTTTTATTCATTTTATAAAATTCTCCTATTTTACCAAATACTTGGGAAAGAATAAGAGATGGGAATTCACAGCCTTAAAACAGTATTTTTTTCATTTTTGATGTTTTATTGTTTGTACTATTACTGATGTCCCATTTTTCCCCCTTCACCTCATTCCACCCACCCTGCCCCCATCTTCCTTAGTCAATCCCCACACCATTGTCCATGTCCATGGGTCCTTCATGTATGTTCTTTGACTAATCCCTTCAACTTTTGAGTACTTTTTCCCTAAAAATTACTCTGTTGAGATGGTCTTAAAAATCAATGTGAAACACAAGAATCATATGTCAATCTAATAAAAGTCATATTTGAATGTATGATCATAGAACATTTGGTATTTATTTTATGGTTGTACACATTCTCATCCTCTGTGCTATTATTCTCTAGTACTATGAGTGCTTATTATACACAAGGCAATGTGCTATATTCTATTTTGCACCAGTAAAATGAATGCTATATAACAGTATTTAATATGTTTTAAGAAATTAAAATGAAAGATTTTTAACTTCAAAAGTGATACTTGCAAAAACAGAATACTACTACTATAATTCTATAATGGTTATTGTAATTACATTTTATTAAGAACTTTAGTTGAATTTACTCAAAAAAATCTGTAGCCAAAACAGGATACATTCAACTCCCTTTAAAATTGCATTCTCTTTTTAATAAAATAGAAACAATATTACAATTATAATTTTAACTTGTTAAAATAAAAGAATAAATTGAGAGAATAGTAACTTTATTGAACTGGAAACAAAGCCTGATCCAAAATTAAATAGAAACACTTTGTTTTTCTTGTTAAAGAATGCAATTTCTAATTTCAGTTGAATGACACTTTTTGTACCTTATTGATGTTTGGCTTCTCCATCACAGAATTTTTGATGGTTTCACAGTTGTCCTTTAATGACTTCATCAAGAAAGAATAATCACATGACAAAGAGTAAAGACGAGATGTAACATGCAAAACACTGGGGATATTATTTTAAATTATATTTTTAACCCAATTTACTAGAAAGCAACACTGGACTGAGTTATTATTTTTAAGATTTCATATATCTTAAAAGAAGAATGTGTGGGGTACATAGTTAGGGGTAAAGGGTTAAGAAAAACTTAAACCCTTAGAATTCATTAATAACCACTATAAATTTTATTCTACCTCCTAAGAAATGTTTACTCACTAAACTTACTTTGAAATGTTGACATTAAAGCAAGATTATGCTTCCAGTACTTTATATTACAAATTTCAGAGACACTGGTGCAAGAACACTATCAACTGAAAATTAAAGTCAAACTGTTCTTGTACAGAATACTATGTCTTGTCTCAATTATGATATCTCACTCCTCATAAAAATCTCCTGATTAAAAAAAAATGGACTTCTAGGTTTCTAATTCTCTCCTTGCCTTGATTTAGCCAGAAATCCTCAATAAACTGTTTGGTGGCACACATGCTGCTGCTACTACTTCTTCTTTTTATTTGTGAATAATAAAAGTATACTTATTTTTTATTAGTCTATGTGTATCCATAAACATATAAATACTATCCTGTAAAGTTGTGATTTAAAGGTGTAGAGTCTCTCTCTCTCTTCTTTTAAGTTAGTTCATTGGGGTGACACTGGTTAATAAAACTGTGTTTCAGGCACACAGGCTTATTAAAAGGGGATATGAGCACTAGTTAAAGAAAGAGCTGGTACAACACCTTTAGTTTTTTCAGGAAATGAAAGAAAACAGAAAAAGAAATTGGGAACAAAGATGACAGCTGCCAAGCATTTTTTTATTTTTTATTTTTTGGTCAGGAATGATTCAGATGTAGTCTATCTGCAGCTATCTTCACTTAGTTTCCAAATGAATACAAACAGGGAAGTCCTCCTATTTTAAAAATGCATGTATCGCTAACCCACATTATATAGGAAAAGAAAGATGTGAGGATACACCAGAATTTTAACATGAGATGAAGAAAATTTCATTTTCAAACATTTTATGAAAGATCAAGAAAACATCAGCACTTTCAAAATATTCTTCATCATCTCTCATCCAAAATACAGGATTTGTCATGTATCTATTTCCTAATCATCTGAAAACTCAGGGTTATTTGAACTTAACTATTTAAGTAAAATCATCATTTTATTTTTTAAAAAAGGGAATGCAGATAATATTGTTAATAAGAAAAATAAGCTAGTCAACTTTCCAGTAAAAGTTAAATAATTTTATACCAATTCTATAAGTTCATATTTTATTTTGTTCCATCTAATCTACGTTTTACTATGGAAAATTTTTCTTTTCATATTCCCTTTATCAAATGTTCCTATCTTTAAGAGTGTCACCATCAAGAATAAAACAACAAAGTGATAACATTAAATTTCTAATAACTACCATTAATCATGTCAAGTTTTTAAGTAAGTTAAATGTACTGATTTAAATATTGCAAAATAAAAGTTACTATACTCATTTTGCAGATTAAATAAAATAAAATACCGAGAAAATACAAGATCTAGCAGAAGTAGGGCCTGTTTGAGTGTGATTGGTAGGGTAATAATATAGGTGTAGTAATTTTTAATTTGAACATTCCACCTAAAATGTCATATGGTGTACTTGAGTGTGATATTGTTATTTTACAGAATTACATGCTTATGATTTGGTAGGAAAAGATTTTGTAATAAAAAAGAGGCATTATTTGTGCCAGACCCTGTATTTAGCTTACTATAAAGCATTTAGTCCAACATTCATATTACTGCTTTTGATTAAAATAATTATAATACAAAAATAAGTTTACTCATTTATCTGCTATTCTGCCTTACTCATTCTGGCTTTGTTATGTCATTCTACTCCCTGAATGACTGTAATCTTGGATTCTAACAAAACAACCTAGTAGTACAACAGTTTTTTGTTTTGTTTGTTTTGAGAACTATTTCACATTTCCCAAATACACTAAATATACCAGAGGTAGAGAAATGTTTTTATTTTAAAAACTGTATCAAAAATGACAATGTTTAAAAAAAATAATTTAGTACTTGTTTTGCCAAATGTGCATATTCATATAACAAGTTACATTAAAAAAAACCAAAGAAGTACTGAGCATGGTAAATTTTTTTTTTTTTTTTTTTTAACATCAATGTGTGACAGAAACATTGATTGGTTGCCTCTCACACATGCCCCAACCAGGGACTGGGCCCAAAACCCAGGCTGTGCCCTGACCTGGAATTGAACAAGCAACCTTTTGCTTGGCAGGGCACCGCTCAACCAACTGAGCAATGCCAGTCTGGGCTCATATGCTTTTTATACAGAGCAATGCAGCAGTGCTTTTCTACATTATTATCAGAATGGTTTAATTTACAATAAATTGTTTTAGGCAAAGATATATTTTAAAAAATAATATTACCTTACCAGTATACGTAGGCAAATTAATCTCATACTCTCATTTTTATAATTTTATTCATCCAGAAATTTGCTTGAACTGTTTTAATGGTACTTCCTTATACTAATTAAGATACATCTTACTTATGGTTATGCAGAAATACTTTCATTTGTATTGCAACTACTGTATTTATTAATTGCTTAGATTTCAATGTTATACATTGACATGTGCACATGTCAAAATTCTCCACAGTTAGGAGAAATGCTATATATTGTTTCCTGGCTTGGCTAATTCAAATATATTTACACAAACAGGCAAAAACTAATTAATAGCATGTGCAATTGCCCCTTATAATTTAATGCTTAAACTGAGAGACAATGAAATATATGTAATTTTTCATTTTTTCAATGAGGTTAAATGTTACCATGCTTTGTGCCAACTTGTCTATTAAGAAGCCATTCTACTTCCTAATTTATCCAAGTGAAATATCTTCTTTTTCTCCTTCTACTTCAAAAACTGTACAAAGCTTACTGTCAGACTAGTTCAGTGCATCTCAAAATGTGATCTACCCACCAGTAGTCAGTTTTGAACTCTTTGTTACTGATCCATGAGAAAATAAGGAATTAACTGTATCACTAAATCCACTGTTTAGTTTACCCAGTATTTTTTAATAGCAGTCTTGTCTCAATGAAGGAAACAAAGTGTTAATTTACATTCAGATGCAAGTTCCCCATATAAAACTGAAACTTTATAACAATGAACTCAGAAAAATAATCGTTATAATGAAAATATCAAGGTATAATCGACCAGTTACGGTATTATTATAGAGTTTGCAAAATTTCATTAAGAAGCATAATCAATAGGATAAAAGGAAAATGTTTTCAGTATATAAACCTAATGTCAATTAAACTTCTAAGATAAACTTCTTTTAACTGTTACATGAAAACCACGTGGACTTCCTACTTTTTCTCTTAAATTGGTGATCATGACAGCTTAAAACAGGAAACAGATAGGGAATCTTAAACAATACTTTTTGGGGAAAAAAAATCTTAAATACATCTTAATTAGTTACTTTAAATAAAATAGATTTATGAAAATATTGACCCCCTCTTCCTTTTCAATTACTTTTCCACACATTAACTGTATAAGAAATGCTTATGATATAAAAATGACTCTATAAAAGGCAACTTATTCTTTGTGGGTTATATAATACAAAAGACTTCAATAATAAAATAGTAAGCAGTATTTAACTTATACGAACCTCATTTAGACACCTTTTCTTTGTGAATATATTTCTTATAAAGGTTTCCTGAATTTCTTCTTGCTTCACCAAGTACTGCCAAAGTCTCTTCACAGACAGTGCCAGGTGGTGTTTGGATCTACAGAAAGACAGTGCATTTCATTATATACTCCAGAGATTTCTGATTAACTTGACATTTCCTTGGTGTTATATTAATGTTTGTAATAATAATTAACTAGAATAAGACCAAATCACATAGGGCCTCAATCAGCAAACTTTTTCTTAAAGGAATACATAGTAAATACTGTAGGCTTTGTAGGCCAGATGGTCTCTCATTCAATTACTCAGCTCTGCCAATGAAGTGGAAAAGGAGTCAGAGATGATATTAAAGTGAAAGGTTGTTGCTGTGATTCAATAAAACTTTATTTACCATGCAGGATGAGGGGTGAATTTGGCCCAGAGGCTGCAGTTTGCTGACCCTTAACCTAGGAATATAATAATTATGATTCCTAGAAGAGATCTACAGAGCTATTCCAGGTGAACACATACCAGTCAAAGAAGTCTGTTACTGATGTGCAATGAGGTAAGAGCTTGTGAAAAAAATATAAATGAACTATGTCATTAAATCACTAGATACACTGTTGAGTTGTTAATATTTTTTATAGCAAGACTTTGATGAAACAAGCACTGTACTGTTTTACTTTGCAAGACAAACACTTCTCAAACAGCAAATATGTTTGCTAACTGGCTATTTTGAATAGCACTGTTTGAGAGTGGATGCCAGTAAACAACCAGTCTGTCTTTCATTTTTGAATATAAAATATTGGATCAAAGTCATGCCCATTCATTTACTACTTATTGTCTATAGTTGCTTTCACTCTACAAATGGCAAGCTTGAATAGTTGCCACAATGATTAATAAGGCCCCCAAAATCTAAAATATTTACTTATTTGGACCTTTGCAGGAAATGTTTGCAAACCTCTGGACTACAATATACACCACACAAAGCAACAGAGATGAGATTAGAACAGCAAATTAAACATAAAAGGACTGAATTTTTTTTCTTTAAATAGTACCAGAAAACACTCTGATTTAGTTAAAAATAGTATCCATTGGAAAACCTACTTGAAAGGAGTATTTGTAGGTTCCAGCAAAGCTTTGTGGCGGAGAATTGCAGGACCTGCAGACAAACTCTCTTCAGAAATATGACTTGCAATATAGTTTTGAGGTGGCCCACCATGGATTTCAAGTCGTCGGAGAAGAACTTGCTCCCAACATTGAAGAGTTTTTAGAACTGCGTGACAAAGTGGTGAACAAACAGGAAGCTCTAAAACAAGAAAATAAAATTGACCCGTATTTACCTTCTGCAGTGAACTGTAAGAATGACTGAGATATTAACACACATTTTGGCAGAGGAGATGTGAAGAGAGGCAGGTACAGAAATCTAGAGAATTAAAAACAGAATGTCATAAATCTGTGTAACATTTCAATATAATTAGGTGGCCAAGGACAAAAGAAAAAAAAGGGCAATCCAAGTTGAAATTACATCAGAGCTTTACTATTAGTAAATTGGAATAGTATTTATGACATGATTTAAATGACTGCTATGTCAATCACTGCTTTTGATTTTCCCATGAAAAAATGTACCTGAATATTATAAAAGTATGTCTGGGAAGAAAATTAATTGGTTTAAACCTTTGTATCAGACCAATTTGTGTATGGCATATAACTAAGGTTTGTTTATAAAATTAAATAATACACAAAAATTTAAAAAGTTACATAATACTATGAAACTCAGTGCTTTCCAGTTCTACACTTCTGTACTTTTGAATGCTAACCCCACCCTCAACTTTAAGCTATTCCTCCTATTTACCTACAAAAATCTAAACATGCTTGTACTGTGAATTCTTGATTTTAGAATTGATCTACTGATATACTATTATGGAATATGAGAATAAGCTCCTCTTTCCATCATTCCAATATAATCACATAAATTTTTTGTTACATTGATATTTTAGTCTTTACTTTTTAATATTTATATTTAAATACAGATCACAACTGAATCACCTGTTATTCATGCACCTTTCTTTCCTGTACAAGCTTTTCCTCCCCTGGGGTTAAAAGTCACTAAGGTCTTGCATTTAGTTAGTTTTCTATGTGTCTACCACTATTAAATCTCTCAATATCTCAACTATAGCTATAAATACAGTCTGAATACAGTCAATCATTTCAGGTTCAAATCCCTGTTTTCTTGGATACTGTTCTCCTAAGAGCACCTACCAATATGATAGACATTATTTACAGACAGGTGGTTTGGTTAACAGAAACCTATCTTCTATAATAGGAAGTTGTTAAACTTTTCTCCACTATTTGAAAAAAATACAAAATAATAAATCAAAAGCAATGACTATTAATTCATGCAAAATTACCTGCAAGATCATGACCTGCAAAGGGATAGAAAGTCTTCAAATTGTTGAGCACCAATTGCACCATTGCCAAGCGCATCAATGACCAACTAAAAATAAAGCAACAGATCTGTTAAATATTTATTTAGGGATTCAGAAGAGTATACCACCACTATCTAACCCCTAAATTCCACTACTAATAACTTACCCTGAATATATACATCCACAAAAACAAACAAAAAATATGCATGCAGTTACAGACATCTGCATTATCTACAATAGCAAAAGACTAGAAACAACCAAATTATCCATCAGGTGAGCACTGGAAGAATAACTGTAGTTTTGATCCATGGAATATTAGCATAGACATTTTAAAAGATTGATGAAGGATCTCTTAAGTGTTAATATGATGTGAACTCCAGTATGCACTGATAAATAAAAAGTTACAGAATACTACATACAGTATGCTACCTGCAGGGATAATACAAGATTTCACACATACACACACACACACACACACACACACACGATCTTTGCAAACACAAAGATAAATCTGAAAACAGAAAAATCAAGATGGTAGAGGAGTGAATGGAAATCACACTGACCTCCTCCCAGGACCAATCTGGAATTACAACTAAATTGTAGAGAAATCACCTGGAACAAATAACTAAACAATAGCAAGAGAGAAGCCTTATAACCTCAGACAGACAGAAGAATAAGCTTAAGCACAGCCTAACTGATAAGGAGTGTGGTAGAGACTTGAGAAAGTGGGTGGGGCACCCACTGGCAGCAGCACCAGAAAGATACTGAAATGGCCAGTTGAATCCCCCTGAGAAGAGTGTGGTCTAAACCATAGGTGGGGATCTCCAGTCTACAGCACCAGAGCCCAAAAAGTACACAGAGAACAACCAGTTGCGAAAAGTGGCAGGGTTGCTCTCTGCCAGAGACAAGCAGCTGGAGATGCAAAGAACATTTTAAAGGGCCAATGCACAAATTTTTATTGGCAGCCACTCACCCTGGTCTCCGGCAGAGGTGAGGGAAGGGTGGGCTAGAGACGCCTGAGAAGAGACTGGGAAAGGAGGCTTTGGATAGAGAATTGAGACAGTAGCTGGTGGGATCCCAGTGCTGACTCATCCCCTATATGGCAGCAGCCATCTTACTTAGGAAGACCACTCCCCTGAGAAGCAACAGCATGAGAGGACACAATAGCCCTGCCCCCAGGCGGGACTCTGCCCAGGCCCGGTGGTGCTAAAGCCTGACTGCTGAGCACAGAGTGGCAGCCACAGATAGTAGATCCCTGGCTAACGGGGGTGCAGAGTGGTTTAGAGAAACTTGAGAGGAGAAGAAAACTTTGGGGAGAGAACAGAGAGAGTAGCCGGCAGGATCCTGGTGCTGACTCCTCCTCCACAAGGCCGCAGCTATAGTCTTTGGGCAGACCACTACCCTAAGGGTCAGCAGCGTGAGAGGACCCAATGACCCCACCCCCAGAAGGGACTCTGCCCCTCCCTGTGGTGTCTAAGCCTGACTGTTGAGTACAGAATGACTAGATTAACAGCTGAAGGAGACAGCCACAGACAGTAGATTCCTATAAGTCTTGAACAGACTGCCTAAGGTTAGACAGGGTCAACAGCTGACATTGTCAGAGGAAGATCCAAAAAGAAAAAACAGCGGTCTCCTACCATAGAAGTTCACACCACAAAGTCAGGAAGTCAAGATAGATCAACTTAAGAAGCAGAAGTGAAAAAGAAGTGTCTCACAAGTAATGGGAAGACAAAGAAACACCCTCCAGTCAAAGGGAAAGGAGGAATTCCCACAAAGAGAACTAAATGAAATAGAGGCAAGTAAACTATCAGATAGGAGTTCAAAACAATGGTTCTAAGGAAGCTCAATGAGCTCAGAGAGAATTACAAAAAACTACAGGGAAACTACAAGGAACTTACTGCAAACTATATCAGCATGAAAAAGGACAAAAACTATCAATAAGAGACAAGAGGAAATGAAGAATATAATTTCTGAATTGAAGAACACAGTGGAAGGAATCAAAAGCAGTCTGGATGAAACAGAGGATCAAATCAGTGAGTTGGAGGATAAGGTAGAAAAAAGCTCCCAGAAAGAGCAAGAAAATGAAAAAAGACTCACAAAGAATGAGGAGGAGTTGAGGGAAATTCAGGACAACCTGATGTAATAATATCTGTATAATAGGGATACCAGAAGGAGAAGAGGAGGAGAAAGGGATAGAAAACCTGTTTGAAAAAGTAATGATGAAAAACTTCCCCGATTGGAGGAGAGAAAAAGTCACACAAGTCCAGGAAGCACAGAGGGTCCGACTCAAGAGGACCCCAATGAGGCCCACTCTAAGATACATCATCATTAAAATGGCAAATATCAAAGACAAACAGAGAATCCTAAAGCAAGCAAGGGAGAAAGAGGTAGTAACATACAAGGGGGCCCTGGTAGGGCTAGCAGCTGACTTCTCAACAAAAACAGTGCAAGCCCGAAAGGAATGGAAAGAAATATTCCAAGTAACGAAAGACAAAAGACTGAAACTAAGACTGTTCTACCCAGCAAGGCTCTCAATTAAAATAGTAGGTGAAATAAGAAGTTTTCCAGACAAAAGAAGGCTAAAGAATACACCTCCACCAAATCAACAGTGCAAGATATGCTAAAGGGACAGCTTTAAGAAAATGAAGAAAAAGAGTCTATGAATACCCAGTCCCTTTCACAATCACCAATACTTGATATTACCAATATTTTCAACACTTATTAATCTGTGACGATGTATTATTTTAATTGTTATGTTATTTGTTGAAACTAAACCTGTTTTTGTATATTTCTTGCCTATTTTGATTATTTTTAAAGAGTTTTACACAACTTTTTTGTATTCTTTATCCATTTTTTGATTAAATGTTTGCAGAATTTTTTCCCTAAAAAAACCCTCCAAAACACTATTAATCTTTTTTTAGGTGTGTTACAAATACTTTTCTATTACTTGTCCTTTAACTTTTTTTTATAAGTATAGTACTATATAGTCTTAAATGTTTAACATAGTCATATTGTCAGTATTTTACTTTATAGCTTCTGGGTTTGAATATGTTACTTCAGGGTAAGAAAAATATTATTTTATATTTTCTCCTAAAACTTCTTAGGTTTTACATATTGATTGTTAACTCACCTGAATTATTTTTTGTAGAATGTGTGAAATAGGGTTCTATATTTGTTTTAGTTCAAGTAATAGTGGTCTATGCACTTTATTTGTTGAATAAGCCTTATTTTCCCCATTGATTTGAAATATCAATTTAAATATATATATTACATTGTTAGATATATACATTTGTTTCTAGAATGCTTTTATTTCATTGATCTACTTGATTATTTCTGTGCTGGTGTCATGTTGTTTTAATTGCTGAGACTTTATAATGGATTTAAATTTTTTACTATTTTATAATGGATTTTGACATTAAAAAATAAATAAAATCAATCTGCATTTAACAAAAAAAGAAACAAACAAGAATGGGCATCTGTAGGCAGTATAGGGGAGGAATTGATTGGAATGTAGAAATGTGAGATTTCTTTTTTCACATTTTTGCATGCTTTACATTTGTATTTTAAAACGATATTTCAGCTTATGTTTTATTTCAAGTTACATACATTTATGTGTTTTATTCTCTCAAGTACAGGTGTTTTATTACTTTAAACTATGGTAAAAGGCCCATATAAATTTTACCACCTTTTCTATTTTCAAGTGGACAGTTCAGTAACTTTAAGTATATATTCATATTGTTGTGAAGTCATCACCACCATCTATTTCCAGAATTCTTTTCATCTTGTAAAACTGAAACTCTATACCCATTAAGCAACTCTCCCAATTTCCACCCTCTCCTAGCCCCTGGAAACCACCATTCTACTTTGCCTGTGAATTTGATTACTCTGGGTATCTCATATAAGTGGAATTATACAGTATGTCTTTTTGTGACTGGTTTATTTTACTTAGCATAAGATACACCTATGTTGTAGCATGTATCAGAATTTCCATAATTTTAAAGAATGAATAATATCCCATTGTTGTATCCACATTTTATTTATGCATTCATCTGTCAGCAGGCACTTGGGTTGCTTCTTCCCACTGGCAATTATGAATAATGTTATTATGAACAGGGGTATACAAATATCTATTTAATACTTGTTTTGTATTCTTTTGAGTACATACCCAGAAGTCAAATTGCTGGATGATAAGGTATTCTATTTTTAATTTCTGAGGAATTGTCATACTGTTTTCCATTGTGTCTATACCATTTTACATTCCCACCAAAACTGCATAGAGTTCCAATGTCTCCACATCCTTGCCAACATTGTTTTTTTTTTTTTTTTTTTAATAGTATCAGTCTCAGTGGGTGTGAGATGATCTCTCACTGTGGTTTTGATTTGCATTTCCCTACTGATTAGCAATAGTGAGCATTTTTTCATGTGCTTTTCAATAAAGGAGTACTTCTTTTAAAAAATATCTATTCAACCAACTTGCTGATATTTGTGTTGAGTTCTTTTGTTGTTGAGTTACACAGTTTGATTTTTGAGCCATGTAAGTATTTTATATACTCAAAAAATAAAATTAGGTCAACAAAGAAAAAAACACACCAGTAAACCAGTAAGTAGAAATCTCTTAATAATTTTTCTTTTTTTAAAAAAAATTTGTTTTTTAATAGTTTATTTTTCATTGTATTTTTCCATTACCATTTATTCCCTTATACCCTCTTCTACCTCCACTATGCTCCCCCCATAATTTTTTTCAATAAATGGTGCTGTACTTCATTTTCTCTAACAGCACTTGTTTAAATATATTTTATTGGCTATGCTATTACAGTTGTCCCATTTTTTTTCCTTTATCCCCCTCCACCCTGCACCCCGTTCCTTCAGCATCCCCCCCCCTTAGTTCATGTCCATGGGTCACACATATAAATTCTTTGACCTCTCTATTTCCTATACTATTCTTAACCTCTTCCTGTCTATTTTGTACCTACCAATTATGCTTCTTATTCCCTGTACCTTTTTCCCTATTCTTCTCCCCTCCCCCACTGACAACCCTCCATGTGATCTCCATTTCTGTGATTCTTTCCAGTTCTAGTTGTTTGCTTTCTTTGTTTTTGTTTTTGATTTTTAGGTTCAGTTCTTGATAGTTGTGAGCTTGTCGTTTTACTGTTCATAGTTTTGATCTTCTTTTCCTTAGATAAGTCCCTTTAACATTTCATATAATAATGGCTTAGTGATGATGAACCCCTTTAACTTGACCTTATCTGAGAAGCGCTTTATCTGCCCTCCCATTGTAAATGATAGTTCTGCTAGACAGAGTAATCTTAGATGTAGGTCCGTTAAAATTTATATTCTTCTATCACACCACTAACAGACCATGTCTTAGTATTTTTGTTTGATCTCAAATATACCTTTCAGATATAATCAACATACTAATAAAAGCAAGATAACAAACATATCATTACTCCTACATGTAAGAATAATGCTCACTGAGGGTGAGCATTTTGAACATTTATGATTTTTATCACATGTGGAAGTCATTTTTAAAACAATCATTGACATGTTAGGATGCTAGTTTTTACTGAAAAAAACATAGTTTCTAGGCTAAAACAATAGGGTTTATTTATATCAGGGAGCTAAAATCAAGGAATAATCTGATTGCAGTATTTGTGAAGACTGGTAAAAAATATAGGTCATCCATTAATGGAAAATAAAACAATAAACTGTGCAATTTTTGTTAAGGAAAGGAATTTACCAATTTCAACTAAAGAAATCTGAGTTATAATTGTGTTTTAAGTCCCAAGTCTCTAATTTAACATGTATTACTTTTGAAAACATTATATATGATGATTTTTTAAAAAATATAAGCTTAAAATTAAGTATTCCATACCTGTATGAATTTGAATTAGAATGTTCTTGGAGGTGGAAATCTGAATTTAAAACATCATCATCATCATCATCATCACTGTCCAGACTCTCCTCTGAATCATATTCTCCTCTACTTAGGGAAGGGGGTAGAAAAGGCTAAAATGAAAAAGTTACAGAATTTACTGTTCAACTTTCTGATTTAATACATTTAATTACATAGTCCAATATTAGCAATTTATCCCATTGTTGGATACTTTGATATAAGAAGTAAAACCAGCATTTGGCTGCTTCTTTTTTTTTAATTTTGATATCACTTTATATAATTCCCTTACTTATCCATCCATTCGACAAAAAATTTAACAAGTCTATTGTGTTAAAAAGCATACTTGAGCCCTGGCTGGTGCGGCTCAGTGGATTGAGTGCAAGCCTGCGAACCAAATGGTCGCAGGCTCAATTCCCACTCTACGGCATGTGCCTGGATTGCACGCCAGGTCCCCAGTAGGGGGCAAGTGAGAAGCAACCACACATTGATGTTTCTCTCCCTGTCTTTGTCCCTCCCTCCCCTCTCTAAAAATAAATAAAATTTTAAAAAGATTTAAAAGCATAGAAAGCATATCTGATATAAACATTTTTAAGACATACACCCAGTCATTGCTTTCATAGCAATGACTCATAGAGGTTATATTTTAATAGGAAAAATAGGCAAATTGTGCTATAAAGAAAAAAAAGACATTGGGATTGAGAACATTAACAAAAATGGAGAAAAGATGATCATGAAGGGCCTCTTTGAAAAGTTGCATTTAAGTGAGACCTTCAGGGCAAGAAAAAATAACGAAGAAATAAATAACAAAAGGGAAGAAAAAAATTCCAGGCTATGGAAATAATATGAAAAAAGGCTTTAATAGGGAGAAGAATTTGGTATAAAAAAGTAAGCATGTATGTTGGGATAATGGTGGAAAAAGAATGGAAGATGACAGATCAGGTAGGGCTTCTATAGGTCCCAGTATATAGAGTATAATGGAATGCCACCAATGAGTTTTAAGTAGAGGACATGTATTGATATTTATCTCTTAAGAATATTATTATCACCACTCACTTATGAAGGAAAAGTCAAATGGCAAGAGTATAAATGGAGACATCGGTAGCTAAGGCAAGAACTGTCAATCTACATACAGGCATTATGATGGAGATGAAAAGAAATAACAGATTTATAGTATATTTTGGGGAAAGCACTGACAGATTTGCTGATTAATCTGGAGAGCAAGGGAAATAGAGGGAAAAGATGATTTCGGGGTTTCTGGCCCCCCAACAGCAAGTATAAAGATGCAATTTACTAAAACAAGAGGACTCTGGTTGTGAAAAGGGAGATATTGAACAAAATAAACACCAAAACCTAAATCTTTCAGATCAAGGTTCACAGGTCAGGAGAAAAAGAATGATGAAGAATAGAGACTATGACAGAATAAACAGAAAGATTAGGGAAAAAAATAGAAGAGATCGGCATCAGAGAATAAGGGTTTAAGTATTTCAAAAAGAAGGAAATGGTCACATGTATTGAACATTGCTAAGAAGTCAAATAAGATGATGATCAAGAAATTTCAGTTATATTTGACATGGGAGCCACCTGAATTTCAACAACAGCAGTTTCAGCACTGTAGTTGTGTCAGATGTTATACAATAGGTAAATATAAAAGGGATCTAAGGTAATAGAAAATGCAGTACCTTCCTTATCCATGGTTTTGATTCCTGTAGTTTCAGTTACATGTGATCAACAGCAGTTCAAAAATATCAAAGGAAAGATTACAGAAATAAACAACTCCTGTTTTAAAATGCATGCTGTTCTGAGTAGCATGACAAAATCTTGCATTGTTCCACTCTGTCCCACCCAGCACATGTATCATGTATCATCTGTTTGTCCAGTGTGTCTATGCTGTAAATGTTACCTGCCAATTAGTCACCTAGTAGCCGTCCTGGTTATCAGACAGACAGTTGTAGCATTGCGGTGTTTATGTTCAAGTAACCCTATAGTAGCCAAACACTGTATCACAATGCCTACGTCATTCATCTCACTTCATCTTATCATGTAAGCATTATATCATCTCACATCATCACAAGAAGGGTAAGCACAGTACAATTAGGTATTTTGAGAGAGAAAGATAACACATTACATAATTATTTCAGTTTATTGTCATTATAATTGCTCTATTTTATTATTGTTGTTGTTAATCTCTTACTGTGCCTAATTTATAAATTAAACTTTATGATAGGCATGTATGTATCGGAAAAAACATAGTGTATGCAATTGCCCCTTAAAAACATGGCTTGAACTGTGTGAATTCACTTACATTAGGATTTTTAGTAGATCCACATAATTCAAGCCCGTGTTGGTCAAGGTCAACTGTATTTTCAATCCTTGGTTGGAAATCTGTGTATGCAGAAGGCTGACTACAGTTGTATGTGAATTTTCAACTGTGTGTATGTGTGTGTGTATGTGTGTCAGGGGAGGGAGGACTTGGAACATATCCCCTGCAGATAAAGGGGACTACTGCATATAATTTTAAAAAGTTGAATAAGAATAGAAAGCAGAAAAATGGGTTAACAGCTGTAAAATTTTGGGAGTCAAAGCAGGATTTGGAATGGGAACAGGAGAAAACTGAAGACAAGGCAAAGAACAGAGAAGAAAAGCAAGGATGGGATTCAGAACAGAAATGGAGTCTTTGATAGGATGGATTCTTCATAATAACAGGAGGAAAGAATAAGATGAAAGGAAATATATTTATAGCTTCATTAATAGGATGATAAAAGTTTTGTCTGATTCTATTTTTTTTAATAACCTAAGAGGTGAGCTCATCAGTTAAGAGTGAGGATGGAAGAGATGTGAGAAGTTTGAAAAGTTATAAAATCTTGTGTCTAGGGAAGCCTAATAAAGAAACATAGCAGGGAGGACAGAACTTCTAGAACAGCTGAGTGTGGAGGTTGTTAAGTCCTCTCCCCAAAAAGCAATACTAAAACTGCACAAAATTGTCAAACAACTTAAAAATATTGGAAATTGACCAAATGCATATAACACATAAAGCAATATTCAGGAAAAAATCTACTGAATCTCTGGTAAAAAAGTAAGAATCTGGCATTTTGGCCAGAGACCACCCTCATCCCCAGCCCTGCCTCTCTGTGCTTCAATTGTTCCACCAGGGCCAGAAGAGCAGTCTGTGAGGACTAAGTACTCTGCTACTTGGCCAGAGGGGGCTGACTTTAATAAAAATTTCATGCCTAGTGACTCTATAAAAAACAAAAGATATCTCAGTAGTAAACAATTAGGGAAAGGTAATATCTCAATTATCCTGATGCTATGATACAGATTGAGGCAAGAGCAGACCAATCAGAAATTTAACAAGATTCAGGAACAAGAAGACCTTGCTAATCAAGAATCTCACGTCCAGCAAATTTATGCTTCAAAAATGAAGATAAAATAAAGATATTACCATATAAATAAAGTGATAGTAAACATTTGTTCAATGAATAAATGACTCTGCAAAAGGCATTGAGGAAAGAGGTAATACAAATGCCCTTCTTTACACTGAAGCATAAAAGATACAAGAAAAATAAAAGCCACTGCTTAACCGGCCGGGGGATGGGTGTCAAGAGAAAACAGTGAGGTGTCAATTAACACAAGACAGTAAGGAGAACATTCAAAAGCTGAAGATGTGAAGAATTTGGCTGATCACAGAAGAAGGAGATATACAGAGGCAGTTCTTGCTTTGCACATATTGCAGGAATGTAAAAATGACGACGCAAGCTGAAACTATGCAAAGGAATCTTAATAATCAATGGAAAATTACAAATGCTCTGTGATTGTTAAAAATATTTGTCAAGGCAATAGAAACTCTTACAGTCAGCTAGGAAAATTAAGAAATGGTAAAAATAATATTTATTTTGCACCTGTAATTAAAGTGTTAGAAGCATTGGGAATTAAAGTGTTTTTTTTTTTTTGTAAAAAAATTCATCAGTACTTTGACTAGCCCTTGCCACCTCCTAACTGCATAATTTAGGACACAAAGCGAGCATCTTTTCTAATCCTTGGCAAATTGTCATACTCCTATCTAAGTCTGTATCAGCTTCCAACATTTTATGCTTTGTGCTTTCAATGTTGTGAAATACGGCCCAGAGTTCCTTTAACCGGAAATTTTTTTTTCTTCCAATATCACTATCCCTGGAACATCTTCATCCTTTTGTCACACTTTCCTCCTTTATGGTCATAAGTTGGCCTTCACTAGATTGTTCTGGCTGCACACCTAGAGTCTTAAATGACAGCCATGTCAATAATCCCAAAGCTAGCTAATTTTTCTATAACTTTATATTTGATTTGAATTTCACTTCTAGTACTATCACTTTTCATTATTTTTTGTTGCACTTTCAGTGGTGTTAGCCAATTCCCTCTTCTAATTATCCAATTTTATAAAATGTCACTTGGGCTTATCATGGGAGACAAGGAGATAGGACACTGGCCCCTCTTTCTGACTGTTATGAACTGAGTAACAGGCGCTAAATGACCAAACCACTAACAGACTTTGGAAGAACTGCTGTGATTAGTCTCTGATCATGAAAGAGCATCTGTTAATTTTCACTGTAATTTGTGGACTGAGAAGATAGCAGGGAACTTTGTACTTTATGCAATTACTCATATTTAATATACTGTGGTAAATTTAAACTTGAACCATGTTGTTGAGAGATTGATGTTACTTAATTAAAAGTGGTAAATGAAATTTGTGTATATCAGAACAACGTACTACTGTCTACAATATAGACAAGGAATGAGAATATGGATGGCACATGAACTTCTGACTGTCTTGATTCCTTAAATACTAACAAGTATTGCACACTGGCATTAAGGTGTTAACCAATTTATCTTTTCATCTTAATGAAAACTTTGCTTTATTTAAAATGTAAATATCAAAATTTATCAAAGAATACCCTTAAAAACTGGTTGGAAATATAACCAAAATATTTTAGGGTATGTTTTTTTGGTAATGTATACTGATAAAATGGAAATTTTCTAACCCAGGATGGTAAAATATTTGGAAGCACCAAAAATTACACTAATTTAAATACTTTCATTTCCATTTAATGCATAAATATTGACCTGGACAGTACGTTTATTACCTTGGCTATGAAATAGTCCCAGATACTGAGCTCAGGTGGGACGAACTTCTCTTTGACTGTCAGTGACTCCTGGCTTACTGGTGGTGAGGAAGAGGTCGGCGTGGCAGATTCTCTGCCAGACATTTTTGATGGCCTAAATAGTTTGGTCTGTTTTTCTTCTTCTTCCACTAGAGAAGAAACTAATAAGAACAAAGTAAAGTATTATTAAATAAGTACTATTTTCATTGTATAAGATCTAAGGCTAACTACAAATAAGTACGCACACAGAACTGAGGATCTCATTGTGATGGAAGAAAATAGGTAGAGGAAGTGAGACAAAAATTACCTTGCATAGCTATCTCTGCTTTTATCTCACTCTCTAAATGTTGACTTATAGGATGTAATATCTGCTTCTAAATGAGTTCACAATTTAGCTAAGACCATGATTGAAAATTATCTACATTGTTCTATTTTGCTTTTTAAGAATATCATGGCGAAGCCCTGACTGGTGTGGCTTGGTTGAGCATCAACCCACAAAGTAAAGGTTGCTGGTTCCTGATCAGGGCACATGCTTGAGTTGCAGGTCTGGTCTCAGTTGAGATGTGTGTGGGGGGCAACAGATGGATAGTTCTCTCTTATACCAATGTTCCTCTCCCTATCTTTCTCCCCTCCTTTCCTTCTCTCCGGGAATATATAAAATCTTAAAACAAAAAAAAGAATATCATGGAATCAATTCTAGCTAAAGGCATCAACTCACGAGATTCTTCCGTAACCACTGGCCTTTTAACTACATAGAAAACTACATTTTCACTGAAAGTATAAAAAGAATTCAAACACATAACTGCTTAAACTGATTCAGACTTAGAAATAATTTGAAGACGGAATTTTCTGTGTTAATAACAAAAATATAGAAAATGTAATAATCTTTATTGTTTTAACTTCTAAACATTTAACAGTATTCTTTTAGAATTTTACCTTAAAATATTAAGGGTATTAGCATATAAATCAAGTTATACAAATCTTTAATTAACACTAAATCACAGGATACCAATCACCAGTAGAGAATGAAGGATCCTAGACACAGGAGTGGTCTGATAGGCAAACAACTCCACATCAGGGCACATCAATATTTTCCTTCAATGGTTTCAGTGAGAATTCACTTACCTCCCAAATGAATGCAATAATTATGCTGTAATAAATTTTGATTATTTGAAGCTACTCAGCCTGCATAAACACCATGCTCATGCATTGCATCAAACAAGAGCCAAGCTGAGCTTAACAGAAAAATTTAGTTATTTCAGAAAAAGGAAATTAAATTGAATAAAATTAGTATCCTAAGAGTTTGCTAAAAATGGTATGATTATTACATAATCTTTCAAAAGACTTTAAAAGGACCCAACAAATTAAATGTGGTTTTTTTTTCTGTTATTATTAGTAATGGATAATCAACAATCACATTTCCAATATATCTGTTGTATACGTTTACATATATTCTAAAACTTAAACAGCGGTTTTTCCAAATTCTCACTAGGTAGAATATTCAAAATATAAAGGTATTTTTTTACCTTTCAAATAAATAATACTATGGTTTAAAATAAATTTATCATTTGACTTTAACACTACTATTTTGCCTATGTTTTTAGATTATTAGGTTTCATAAAATCTTGGGGAATCTCTGAAAATAGAACTTGCAAACAATGCTAAATTAATAAATTTTGTCTAGATTGCTATGTCATAAAATCCCCCCCCCCCCCCCCCCCCCCCCCCCCCTCTTCCTTCTTTTTTTTTTTTCTCCCTCCCCCCCCCCTCCCCCCCCCCCCCTCCTCTCTGACAATGTAGAGTTTTTAAAGCAAAACATGAGTGTTTTTAAAGTGAGAAATTATTTGATAGTATAGTCTGTGAACCCAGACACATCACATGAAAATAAGAGATTAACCACACTCAGGGAAATATTTAAAATTACAGACCCAATGACAGAAATATAAACCTCTTTATAAAAACACTACTGATAAACAAGGACGATAGGCTAAAAATGGCAAACAGGTGCACAGTACTGACTGTTACATTACTTGAAATGCTATAAATTAAAGGACCTGAGTGATACTTTCCAGTAAACAAATGATCTATAACTTGTCAAGAGGGTAGATGCTTCCTCTTCTCCCTCAAATTGCAGCAAGACCTGAGATAATTTTATGCTTAAATTGTTTTGAGTTAAGAGTGGTCATGAAGCTTAGGGGCAGCAACAGCGACTATTTAGCCATTGGGTACTCACTGCTTGTTTTTGAAAATGCTATTAATTAAACATCAAAATCTTCTGCCACTCCTTGGGTAAAAACTGATTTTACCATTCCATTATTAATGGAGTAAATGGCTACTTTACTAGTAATAAAAGAAACATATCAGAATTAGGGAGAAATGAAAAGGAACTTGAGATACAGAGCTTACAGATTATAAGGAGAATGAATAAGTAAGAAAGTGGGTAAAGGAAAACTGAGTTATATATGGGAGAAAGGAAAGAATTATGTATTGACATGAATTAAAAAATAAATTTCTTAACTGCCTGGGATTCACAGAACGTACCTTTTTAAAAGTGGGCTTCCATGTCAAGATTGTGGACTGAACAGGCAAATATACCTTTTTTCCCCTGTAAGAAGCCATATCCTCATCCCTAGCACATTCTGAAGTGGTTTTCTTAGAATTATGGAAGTAACACCCAATAGAACTCAAAACAGAAATAGAGAATGCTTGAGGTTACATATAAGGAAAGGACATGGGAGGTACAAAGAAGTGAGAAAGGCAATGTCGTTTTTATCATTAAGTTCTTCTGCACTGCTGGCTTTGTTGCCACACACTTATACTGCTTTCATGAAAATTAAAACATAAGAAAAGAAAGGCTAATAAGTTAACACTTATATTTTCCAGTGAATTCTTTTAAATTAGACACAACAGCCCTGGCCAAGTGGCTCAGTTGGTTGGAGCATGGTCTCTTACACCGAAAGGTTACTGGTTTGATTTCAGGTCAGGGCATGTACCTAGAATGCAAGTTTAATAGGGGTGCATACAGAAGGCAATTGATTGATGTTTCTCACATTGATGTTTTTCTCTCTCTCTCTAAAATTAATAAATATATCCTAGGGTGAGGATTAAATAAATAAATAAAACAAAATTTATATTCTGAACCATTTTAAATCAGACACAACAGCCCTGGTTAGGTGATTCAGTTGGTTGGAGCATCATCGTGCACAACAAAAGGTTGCAGGATTGATTCCCATCAGGGCACATACCTAGGTTGCTGTTTGATACCTAGTTAGGGAGCATACAGGAGGCAACTAATCAATGTTTCCCTCTCATATCCATGTCTGTCTGTCTGTCTATCAAATCAATAAACATATCCTTGGGTGAGGATTAAGAAAAAAAGAAAACTGACTTCAAAGTAACACAGAGGACCACCTCATTCTCCACTTCTCAATCTAAGGCACCCTTATCCATGAGGCTATTCATGAGAATGCCAAAGTGTGCATAAAGCTTCAGGAGGCATATGTCCTGGACCCTCAATTTTAACTCCACCTCTTTCTTCTTTTTTGGAGGGGGAAGGTAAATATGTTATGATTTAAAATATTTTATATTGAAAGCAACAGATATGGAGAAGATAAAAGTCATGTAAGCTTAAGATAAAATAGATTTCAAATCTACTTCTTCCCTACAGCAAGGTAATTCAGTCGAAGAGGTCTCCTAAGAAGAATATATTCATTCTCCTTTTTCATTAGGGGCATGAAAACTACAAATGTATGTAAACACAAATTAAGTATAAAAGGAATTCTCAAAATTATATATAAAACATGATTTTACAAGTAAACTTCAAAGATTCCTAAAAGAAAAAGACAAAATTAGGAGATTAAATAAGTAGTGAATTTTAGATACTTCTTAATCCTCAAAGAATAAAATTAATGATAAAATAAAATTAGATGACATTATCCAGATTTTACAAAGACCGTTTAACTCTCAAGGTCTTCCTAGGACCATTACTTCACATAGTACCTTGTACCCCCCTCATAAGTAGCCATAAAAATGAACTGATGAGTATCTTAATAGAAAGTAGTGATCTGTCTCCAAATCACAGAGCAAGGTAGTTTCCAAGGTAGTTGGTGTTCAAAATGATTCACTGAAATATGGAAGGAAAATATCACAATTTCTATTTAGATTTATTTTTTAATAAGTAGAAGGGTGAAGAGAAATAGGAGGAAAGGGGTAAGAAAGGGAGTGAGAAAGGAACAGTAGAGAAAAAAGGGAAAGGGGTGGAGGGAAAGGAGATAGCAGAAGGGGAAGGAAGAAGGAAAAAGGCCAGGAGAGAGAAAAGGGGAGGGAAGAAGGAACAGGAAGAAGAAATAAAAACTGTCAATGTTTGATATCTGTATCATCAATGGTACATGTTATTTATAAAAAAAGTACACATATTGGGGCTTTGCTTAAGCATGTTTCATGGATAGGTAACTTCACTAGGGTAATACTTTTCAGTCATCCTGTTGGCTACAATATGGATCTGTCTATAAGATTTCAGCCCAAACTAAAGAGACTTACTAAAAATTTGAATGCAATACAAACACACACAATAAAATATTCTTCAGGTGTAAAAGGGAAGGAAATCTTGTCCCATGCTACAACAGAGATGAACCTGGAGGACATCATGCGAGGTTGAAAGAAGACAGTCACAAAAAACAAATACTTAAGACTCCCTTATATGAGGTATCTAAAGTAGTCAAATTCATGGAAACAGAAAGTAGAATGGTGGTTACCAGGGGATGGGGGAAGGAGAGAAGCGGAAGATGTTGTATAATGGGTACAATTTTAAATTTGTAAAGTGAACAAAGTTCTGGAGATTTGTTTCACAACAATGTAAATGTACTTATCACTACTAAAAATGGTTAAGACAGTATATTTCATGTGTTTTTGACCATAAAAAATTATAATAAAGAAAAGACATTAGAACTATTTCATTGCAGCATTTAGCACTGCCAGAAATACTAGAAAATGTGGCTGGACATAGAGATCACATGCTTAGTCTCAAATAATGATGGAGTCTAGGTGAGAGCTGAGATGTTTCACAAAAGGATATTTAGAAATCAGAAGTCTGGCCAAGATGGAGGTGTAAATAGATCCTCCATCTATTATCACTTTGTCTCTTCGCACAACCAAAAGAAGG